ACATATTCAATGTTCTATTCCATCAAAATTGTTCAGTTCTATTCCATCAAAACCCTGAAAGAAGGGTTTTGATGGAATAGAACTGAACAATTTTGAACTGATTAAGCAAATTCCCACGATTTTGGCCTCGATTTTTTTGATTTTAGTCTGGAATGAATAAAAAGAGGAATTTTGCGGAAATTAGGAGGGGTACGGTAGTTTTGCCATAAAGCGCCAACCCCGAATTTCCTCGGACAAAAGGTCGCAAGTCATTTTTGGATAGTTAAATAGGTTTTGGATAAGTCCGGCATCATCTACGAGTCCAAAAACCCTGGCGTCACCATGTCTTGAGTTGAACACTTGAGAATTGCGAATGACTATCAAAAGTTTAGCCCTAATCATTTTCACGAATCGTCTCCTCAACGATCAACGACAACATATGAGTGCAAAAACGATAGAACTACACAAAAAATGGACCCGAAATTTAAATGTTCAAGTAGAATTTCACATAAAGAATCAAATTTTCTTTATTTTCAGCTTTTCGTGATCTTCGCAATGTTCTTCGTGCCATCAATTTGGTTTTTCTTTTGTTTTTTCGCTCGAAGAATACAAATCATCCGTAAAGCATCGTTTATTTTCAATTTATTGACTGAATTTTATGAAATAGGGAGTGGGACAAATGCTACCTTTTTTTTTGCGCACCCGGACATTTGCGCACCTTTTTTTTGCTGGAAAAGACCTTTTTCTAAAAGACAGTTATTTTACACCATCAGTTTTCAGTTTTTTTTTAAGTAGGTGTCTTTTAGAAAGTACAATTAGCCTAATTTTATCAATTTTTGATTGGTCCTTGTGATTTCGGGAGTGGGACAAATGCGACCTTTTTTTTGCGCACCCGGACATTTGCGCACCTTTTTTTCCGCATCTTGCCCATTAGCGCACCTTTTTTCGCGTTTTCAAAAAGCAAAAAAGCAAAAAAACTAATATTAACCAATTTCTATTCCAAAAGTTCTTTTTCTAGGTAATTTTAGGGCGTAGAATTCAAATTTTGACATATCAGAGCTTGTGGAAACAAACGGACGGAGTTATACAAAGAGAAAGATCGACAATTTTCTGTATTTTGGCCTAGCTTTCGTTTTGTCTTTCAAATTGGTTCCACACGCTCTGTTATGTCAAAATTTGAATTCGACACCCTAAAATTACCTAGAAAAACAACTTTTGGAATAGAAATTGGTTAATATTAGCTTTTTAGAGCTTTTTTTAAAACGCGAAAAAAGGTGCGCTAATGGGCTAAGTGCGGAAAAAAAGGTGCGCAAATGTCCGGGTGCGCAAAAAAAAAGATAGCATTTGTCCCACCCCCATGAAATACCTTTAAAGCTAAGATATTTAACTCAGGAACTTTTTTGAAAATGAATGAATTTTTGAAAAACTCTTCTCAATTTCTTTTAGATTATTCCATTTTTGCATCAATTTTTCTTTCAACTCATTCCACGGCTGGGACAATCGTTCATTTCCTATTTTATGATAGTTATCGGGATTTTATCGGAAAATTGCTTCTTCTAAAAAATCCTTTATTAAATGAAAAAGTTCAAAGAAATTTGAAAAGACTTCATCCCGTGGATCGACCCGTTTCAGCGCCGGTAGTTTTTCTTTTTGTTCTAATAACTGTATCAACTTTTTTTGAAAGTTTAGATCCGGAAAATCTAAAGCTTCTACGATTGATGAAATATATAAATGTCAAAAGAATTTTAATAAGTTTGTTTTGTAATCAAGAATGTTTTGCTATAATGAATAAAAGTCTTCTTTAAGCCTTACAGACCCGTTTCAGCACCGGTAGTTTTTCTTTTTTTTTCTAAAAGCTGTATCGATTTTTTTTGTGTTTAGATCCGGAAAATCTAATGCTTCCACGATTGATGAAATACATAAACGTCAAAAGAATGTTAATACATTTGCTTTTTAATTTGTAAATGTAAATTTGTAATCAAGAAATGAATAAAAGTCTTCATTAAGCCCTATAGAAAAAGCACTCGAAAATTGGCTAAACTTTTTTTTGTTAAAGAGGCTCGTTTCTTGTTTCTTCTAAAGCTGGGATTTCCATTTCTATTTGTACTATAAATGCTTAATTATTGAGGTATTCATTAAGCCCTACAGACCCGTTTCAGCACCGGTAGTTTTTCTTCTTGTTCCAATAACTGTATCAATTTTTTTTTGTGTTTAGATCCAAAAAATCTAATGCTTCTACAATTGATGAAATATATAAACGTCAAAAGAATGTTAATAAGTTTGTTTTGTAATCAAGAAATGAATAAAAGTCTGCTTTAAGCCTTACAGACCCGTTTCAGCGCCGGTAGTTTTTCTTTTTGTTCCAATAACTGTATCAATTTTTTTTTTGTGTTTAGATCCGGAAAATCTAATGCTTCTACGATTGATGAAATATATAAATGTCAAAAGAATGTTAATAAGTTTGTTTTGTAATCAAGAAATGAACAAAAGTCTTCTTTAAGCCCTATAGAAAAAGCACTCGAAAATTGGCTAAACCTTTTTTTTCTAAAGAGGCTCGTTTCTTGTTTCTTCTAAAGCTGAGATTTCCATTTCTATTTGTACTATAAATGCTTAATTATTGAGGTATTTATAAGCTATAATATTTATAATTTTTATCCCAAATTTATTGTTTATTTGCTTTATTGATTCGTAGAAATCAAGAAAATTCATTCAAGATCCAAACGAATCAAAAGCTCTATCAACTTTTTTTGAAAGTTTAGATCCGGAAAATCGAATGCTTCCACGATTGATGAAATCTCTTTATTCATTCCTTTCTTTTTCCCATTCTCTCTTAAGATCTCTCAACTACTTTTCCCATCACTTTGCCAGTAACAATACAAAAAAGAAATCTTTGATCCTGTCCTCTTGTTCGGCTATGAAGTTCTATCGGCTATTCTATTGAGAAGTTCTTGGAAAACTTCGAATCTCCTTCGCTTGTTTGCAGATGATAAGACATTTGACACCATACGCACCGAGTTTTTGCATTTTTCCAATTTTCTGAAGGTGCTCAAGAACTGTACTGTGCGGACAGTCTATCTTCTTTGTCGAGGATCCTCTTCGATCAACTCTTACAAGAGGTCCTCATCCAATTCAATCGGTCTTCCTGTGCGTTTGACGTCGGAAAGTTCGAATTTCCTTCCCGAAATCGTGCAAATCATTTTTTGACAGTCAGCTCACTAACGAATCTGCTTCCATAAACGCGACTATCTCACGAAAAGTTTTCCCTTGAGTCCGTGATGAAAGGCAGAGTTCTGGAAGCAGTTCTGGTTGTTCATTTTGTCGTTAAGTTTCTTTTTCGAAGCTTTTTAACCCACCAGTCAAATAAAGAGCATACAAATTGTTGTGACTCGTTTGACAAGCCGATGTACAGCAAAGATCTAGTTGTTCATTTGATCATTAAGTTTCTTTTTCCAAGCTCACTCTTCACAAAATCATTCTCAGCAGCACTGTGAATGGGAACGAAGTGACCGCCTTGATTCACACAATATGATTCAGCTTTTGTGTAAATTTGATCAATGGCAACCTAATTATACCTTGGATTCGTTTTGCATTTTTACATTTTCAAAATTTTACAAAATTCTTTTAATAAAAAAACCCATAAACATAAAACTACGTATTTCTATAGAGCTTAATCTAGTTCTGAATCTAGAAAATATAGGGCTGATCGAGTTCACAAAGAGTGAAACACACACACACAACACAGTCGAATCTTGAATTTGAATCGAACGTGAAGGAACAGGTGTTCTTCTGTTCTTTTAATGATCACTTGTCAAGTGATCACTAAAATTTTTCGCTGATCACTGAACGCTTAGATTTCTCAGGTCAGATTTTTTAAGTCAAAGTTGAGTGGCACTACGGGGGGTCGAACCCGGGTAGTGTGGGCTGTAGACAAGCGTGCTCCTGGCTGCATCACGGCGACAAAGAAAGGACGGCAGAGAAAGGATTGGATGAGGTAAAGGAGGGAGAAAATGAGAAAATAATTGTAAATCCTAGAAGAATCCACAAAGAGCAGAAAGATGGCCGAATGGGGGTCGAAAAAGAATGGGGTGATTGATTTGAAAACTTTGATTTTGTTAGCGAATCTTTGTCCCCAAAACATCAAAGCGGTAATCTATTAGTAATTAAGTTTGCCGTTTATGTTCTCACCGGATCGGTACGAGATTCTCGAAATCCACTGATCGCTTAGATTTCTCTTATCAATCCAGTTTCCACATTCTCTTAGAATATGGAAAGAAACATTTAAAAGAGTTAAAGCATTTAGCATTTAGTTGAAAATGATATCACAATAGTTTCAGTTTCAATTTCTCAAAGTAACGCTTGCTTTTGGAGACGGTTTATTGCTTAGATATGGAATAGAAGCCAAGATGGGCTTTGTGAAAAAGCGTTCTTGAAATATAGAATTATATTTATTTGTGAATAAAGATAAAGAATGAATAAAGAATAAATATAAAGAATAAAGATGAAGAACAAAGAATAAAGATCAATAAAGAATGAAGAATAAAGATAAAGAATTAAGATCAATAAAGATCAACAACGAATAAAGAATAAAGAATAAAGAATAAAGAATAAAGAATAAAGAATAAAGAATAAAGAATAAAGAATAAAGAATAAAGAATAAAGAATAAATAATAAAGAATAAAGAATAAAGAATAAAGAATAAAGAATAAAGAATAAAAAAAAAAATAAAAAAAAAAGATAAAAAAGTAAAAATAAAAAAAATAAAAAAAAAAAAAAAAAAAAAAAAAAAAAAAAATAAAAAAAAAAATAAACAATAAACAATAAAGAAGAAAGATAAAGAATAAAGATAAAGAATAAAGATCAAGAATAAAGATAAGAATAAAGAAAACGAATAAAGATAAAGAATAAAGGCCAAGAATAAAGATCAAGGATAAAGAATAAAGAATAAAGATCAATAAAGATCAATAATAAACATATTGTCAAAAGTAAACTCCAATAAACGAGTCAAAAAATCGAATTTCTCAGCCATTTGTCTCGTCGAGAAGTTGCTAAACCAGTTTTTCATAAAATCTCAAAATTTTCCCAACCTCTAACTCGGTCGCATATATACGCAAGTATGGAAGGTACATTTCAGAGATTTCCTCGAATTTCTTCCTTTAAAAAAAGTCTCAATTAGCTGAATTTCTATCTAGAATCTTCATTTTGAATCAAAAAGACAAAATTTTGAACAATTTTGTTCTCCATTTCTACTCACTCAGCTTCTTCTCTCTTTTCCATCGCTTCTTCTCCACCAATCCCATTTTTCGTCGATTTTTTGAGTTTCTAAACGGTTAAATATTTGTAAAAGTTAAATATTTTGTAAAATCTGATACCTTTTTCATTAGAATTAGCGGCTCTTCTAAATTTAGAGGGGACTTTTGCCAATTCTACACTTATTTTTCGATTTTTAACGTTTTGCGCATGTGCTTGCTGGGATTTTTTTAACGAAATTTATTGACAACCATATCTCTCTTTCTGGGCGAACATCAAAATTCACCATTTTACCGTCAGGGATTTAACCTCAACCAGCCATCGGCATCGTAAGCGATTATCCCAACAGAATAACCTCAAATACAATGAATACTATTTTTAGAGAATCAAAACAAGAAAGCGATGGCGCAATTCAGTTTCAGCTCGTTATTCTTTGGTTTTCAATGAGAAAAACTGCAATGATGGTATTGAACGAATGGCTTTGTCAAAGGAGCCATCCAAAGGCGACCATCGTTATTTAGAAAAATTTCAAGTGTTCTGTTCTAAAGCTTCTTATCGTAATCAAAGTTTCTTTGAAGAATCACAAATCTCTATTGGGAAACAGCTTCGAATACTTCGAAGTTCTAAAGTTTCCTCGGAGTTTTAAAGTCCCCTCAAAGTTCAAAATCTCCTCAACCCCCAAAATTCTAAAGTCCCCCGTCAGTCCCTCAAACTCCAAACCCCCCCAACTCTAAAAAGCCCCCCCAAGTTCCAACTCCCCAAGTTCTAAAGTTCCCCCCAAAGTCTAAAGTCCCCTCAGAGTTCGAAAGTTCCCTCAAAGTTCAAAATCTCCTCAAAGTTCTAAAGTCCCCTCAAAGTTCTAAAGTCCCCTCAAAGTTCAAAAGTCCCCTCAAAGTTCAAAATCTCCTCAAAGTTACAAGAGATTAGCTATATAAATACTAATTTTGTTACCTTTTTCAATCTCCTAATCTTTTCATTGATTTCCAAATGGAATTGGCTGCAGATTTGTTGATAGTTCTCAAACGGATTGGTCGAATTGCTTTGGCTCTCGTTTTTAGCAAATTTTACCTGTAAATTGAAGAAAATCGAAACAAAACACTAAAATTTCATCGAAATTCGGTAATTTCACCTTTTCTTTATCATCCGCCTCCTGTTTTCTATGATCTCGATGTTTTCGATGTTTTGAATCTGAAACAAAAAAAAGGATTCAAAAGAAAATTGAGCTAAATCTCGAAAAGTGTTTTAATATTCAAATATTCAAATATAATACAAATATTTAATATTTGTAATATTCAAATCATCAAAATTCATCACTTTTCTCTTTTTTCGTCACCATTTCCTTCACTTCAGGCAACTTTTCGAGAAACTCGATTCGCACTTTCGTATCGGTGAATTTCATCCCGTAATTCCCGGCCCAATCCTAGAAATCTTCTAGTTTATTATTTAGAAGTAAAAATTTTTGTTGTTTTTGTTCTTATCCTTTTCTTGTTCTTGTTCTGTTGTTGTTCTTATCCGTTTCTTGCTCTTGTTCTGTTGTTGTTCTTATCCGTTTCTTGTTCTTGTTCTGTTGTTGTTCTTATCCTTTTCTTGCTCTTGTTCTGTTGTTGTTCTTATCCGTTTCTTGTTCTTGTTCTGTTGTTGTTCTTATCCTTTTCTTGTTCTTGTTCTGTTGTTGTTCTTATCCTTTTCTTGTTCTTGTTCTGTTGTTGTTCTTGTTATCCCAAATATTCAGGATTAAATTCAAGTCAACAATAGCTGGGTCAAAAATATCCAAGCCTATCAGGGCTTGGATTTGACCGATGAAAAATCAAATTCGATTTCAAAGTTGCTTGAAAGCTTCGAAATCGAGTAAAACTCATAGGATAGTGCTCAAATTTTGATGATATTAGATTTAATGGATGAGTTGGACTTTGGATGAATTATTGGATGATTTGGTCTTAAATCTAACCCGGGTATCCTTTCCCTCACTGCACAAGATGAGTCGTCGATGTCCCCTTTTGCAGATCAGCCTCATCTCTTCACGTGTCCAAGGTTCTCCTGAAATCAAAAATTCGTTTATTCGTTTACAGTGAAATTAAAAAAGTTGTTTTTGATTAGATTAATGCAAATTATACAATCACCTGCCCATTGTCGATATTCTCGTTCAATTTCCACTTCAGAACCCGAATGAGTTGAGTGATCTGTTCCATAAGCGAGTAGCTGGAAAAAGGTTTATCAAAAAGTGAAAAAGTTCTCGTTACATCAGAAATTTAACGATAATATGATAATCTTTGCTTTTCTTATCTTAAAATCTATTGTTAAAAACAAACTTTAGCTGAAAATCTATACATAGCTCCGCAATCGTTTCGCGGTGCGTGTTTCTCTTCGATAACGATGATCGGCTTAAGATTGTCGAGGATCCATGGCTAAAATTAGGCTTAGTTTTTCCATCCCAATAGCTTTAAATCAATTGCAATAGCTTTAAATCAATCCCAAACGCTTTAAATCAATCCCAATCGCTTTAAATCAATCCCAATCGCTTTAAACCAATCCCAAACGCTTTAAATATTGATTCCCAAGAGTTCTAGCTATATTTTGAATATAAAATCGTGTTGTAAGTCTAGCTAAATCAAGAAAATTTCAAGGTTTTGATTGCTTTTAAGTCATAAATACAGTTTTCTTACAGAATTCTATACATTCGAGAGTAAAAAGTGACACAACTGAATGGCTTTATACTTAAAAATACTTTCTACTACTTAAATACTTCATTAAAAGGTAAAAGATTTTCAGCTAGTGTGATAAAACAAGAAATTGAAACCTTGCAGTATCCTGTCAAATAACAAATCCAATCTTTCCTAAACAACAGAAATTCTGGCTTGAGTTTTGGCATCCTGTCAGAAAAAAGTGACTGGGAAAGATCTTTTAAAGCTTTTAGATCTCGTTTACCTTAACGTTTAAAAGTTTTAAACAGTAAAAAAACCTCAATCCCGCATTTCTCCAAATCGATCTCCAACTTTCGATAACCCCATTGACACGAGGTGGACAAGCATTCGATTGGATCATCACTTTCACCTTTCACGTCATAACCAACAATTGGACTTTCATGAGTGCAACTGAAACATTTAAATAAACTCACAAAACATGGCTCCAAAGGCTAGATTCTATTTTGTACTCAACTCTGTCGCATTTTTCTTCAACTTAACCAAAATTTAGTTTTTTTCTGGTCTTCTCGTCTCTCTTACTTCTTCGCATGCTTTTCAATTCATTGTATCATATAAAGTACTCTTCGCGACATTAAAAATAACAATAATAATAATAAATCTTATCAATTTTGTCGTTCTCTGTCAGCCAAGGTCATCCTCCGTTCATTTTTTGTAAAAAGACTCTAGAAAAGCTTCAAAACATTGTTTCTTCTCATTTTAATGTTTAGCTTGCAAAGCGAAGGCTTAAAAGCAACTTCTCCGATGCGATTTGCAGCGGGATTGCCGACAGAGCAGCCGGGATTCGAGGCAAGCTTAACCTCAAACCATTGAAGCTCCAAAGGACGCATCCAACTCAAAATTAAGAAAAAAATTCAGAAATCTCGTAAAACTCACGAATTCCCTTCATACATTAGCCAAGTTTTCCTAATCGCGAAATCCTTTGCCTCATTTGGTTTAAGAGGTAAATGTAACAGGAGATTGTTTCCATATGGATCGATTTTTTGTTTATCGGTGTGTTCAAAGAGGTGGGCGAAGTCGAAAGCGTGGCCCTAAACTCAATAAAGCCCATAAATCGTTCTCAAATACAGTAAAATTTTAAGAAATTAGCTAATTTGTCGACCGTTAGTAAATCAGTTGAATCTCAATCAATTCATGGCGAACGAATCCGTTTCAATTGTGAGTAGCTTAGCATACAATTAGTATCTAAGAATGTAAGAATTGTAATTGGAAGTTGTAAGTTTGTTTGTAAGTTTTACAACAATTAAACCCGAGTTTCAATTGGTTGACTCAATAAAACGAATAGCTCGAATCAATTCCCCGACCGAGAAAACTCTGCGGGTACAAGTTTTAAGCTAAATAGCTCTTAAGCTCTTCTTTTTTGCCATCTACAAAGTACAGTAGACATTTAGGTATATTAGGGAAGATACCTTCAGCTTCATCAATCACACTATAATTCATGCTTATTGTTAGTTACAATTTAAAATTGAATTGAATTGAATTGAATTGATTGATTGGTTACATTGATTTAGATTCGAACGGCTTGTAATTGTAAGTTGTCAGTTGTAAGTTTTACAACAATTAAACCCGAGTTTCAATTGGTTGACTCAATAAAACGAATAGCTCGAATCGATTCCCCGACCGAGAAAACCCCGCGGGTACAAGTTTTAAGCTAAATATCTTTTTTTTTTGTCATCTACAAACTACAGTAGACATTTAAGTATATTAAGGAAGATACCTTCAGTTTCATCAATCACACTATAATTCATGCTTATTGTTAGTTACAATTTTAAATTGAATCGAATTGATTGACTGATGGTTACATTGACTTGATTGACTGATTGGTTACATTGATTTAGATTCGAACGGCTTGCTTTGTGGTTAGAAGTGCAAAAGATTGGGTATTAAAATCGAATCAAATCAGAAGTTTCTTTTAAAATCACCTGTTCATGCATGTACTCTAGAACTTCTTTTGGCGGTAGTGTCAATCCTTTCTCGACACAACGATCCTTCCAGGAATCATTTTCATCCATTAAGAGGAATTCTGACTAGTGAGTGATCAAAACAAGGAAAATAAAAATAGAAAGAAGGATAAACGAAGAACTGGAAAACGATCTGTTTGGATGAGAGGCTTGATAAAGTTTTTTTTGGATGAAGCTTTTGAATAAAAGAATTCAAAAGCAAGTGGAAATTTGTTTCTGGACAAATTGAAGCCTTAGAAGTGAATTGCTTTTTTTCTGGCTACATTTCGGTCTTTTATTTTCTTATCAGAAGCGTCAGAGTTGTAAAAAGACAAAATTTTGTTTGTTTCAGCACAAAATTAGAAATCCAAAACGTAGAAAGTAGATAAATTTGGCGTTGTTTTTGATTGTTTATTTGGCGAGATTCCTGAAACTTTTAAAATTCTAATATCTTTATATATTCATCACTTTAAACTTATGATATTTGATTGGTAATAAATTTTGTTATAAACTATTTTATAAATTTCTCAAGATATTAGGTTGGAGAGTTCAAAGTGAGCATTTTTTCTTGGATGATAACCACAAAGCAAGCCGTTCGAATCTAAATCAATGTAACCAATCAATCAATCAATCAATCAATCAATCAATTTAATTCAATTCATCTTTCTTATTAGTATTCCCCAGCACTAAAAGCAATTCGGTTTATTTGTTTGTTTAGGTTTGTTTATGCCACTCTTCAACTATTAAAACCTGAGCCCAAGCCAGAATTGCACCAGAAGAAGATTATGTTGTGCATTTGGTGAGATCTGAGCGGAGTAGTTTATTGAAAGTTGCTACCTGAAGCTGTACAGGGAAGCTGACTGTCACAGCTTCCCTGTACTCGGAACAGCTGGATCGGGTCGCCGAACAAATCACAAAAAAATCGGCCAAATCATGGAAAGGTCCTTCTCTTGCATGACAATGCAAGACCTCATGTTGCAAATTTAAAGTATCCAATTCTGTTACTAAAACATCTAATGTTTGAGAAAGTTTCTAAAAAAGAAAACAACAATTTGTTTGAGAAACTCGAGTTTAATTCTGTGAAATGGATAACCTTCAGCAATTCCGGAAACCAATTCCATTTAACGTTTTCCATTCATTCAAATTTTTTGAAACGACATTGACATTGAAAATTCTAAATCAACTCTTCATTTATATCTTATTACATTTCAATCAATGACTGGTCAATGAACTTTTGTAGATCTCTGTCTTTTCATGGCCTATATCATGGTTTTCGTTGGAGGTCAGTGAAAAGTTTTTGATTTTTTTGAAAATATTACAACTTTATCTACTTAAAAACAAAACTAAATTTATAAACTTTCACTTTCCTATTGAGATTTATTTACTATTTTCACCGTAGTACAAAATCTTCTCATGTCTACAATAATTTCTCCCCAATTTCTCAACTTTAGTGGCGTTCTTTTGCGTGAGAGAACGGCTAGCCGAGAACCCAAAATCGAATTTGAATCTTATATTCATTGTTTTGTTGCTGTTCATTCATTCATATGCTTTGTGATACTTTGGGCAAAAATTGCTATCGTTTTTCCATAAAGCAAATGCTCAAAGTGAACCTATTGAAGTACATTTGGGCGGCGATTGATGGAGAAGGAGCCAATTCGACGACCCTTTCAACAGGCAATTTAACAAGTTTTTAAGCTTTTATCGTTCCCATAACTGTATCGATTCAAATAAAACACTTCTCGATTTAAAGTTTCTAGTTGTGCACGTATAAATTCATTTTCGTAGTTGAACATTTGAAGACATACAAATAACAAAACTCTTGGTAAGAAATCCAATTACAATAAACAACAAATAAATAGCATCAAGCTCTATTTAAAAGCCATACAGTTGAAGCTCGTTGCTAAAAGGAATCCTAAAAAAATCAATTTATTAAAAAGGTTTCTGGTTAAACTAAATAAAACGTTTAACGTAGATTTGCGTAGAGTCCAAATTAAAGGTTAAAAAGATTATCAAGGTTCAAAAGCACTAAACCGTCTCATTGAGATTTAAAATTTGTTATCGAGATTTATTCAGTGATTTGCTAACAGGATTTTACTATTTGATGGTTTTCTGAACTTTAATTTTGCACCTTTTTAAGTTTAAGCAAAAAAATCGACAAAAGTTTATTGACGAGTCATTGATTGAATAATTGATCGATAAGTTTTAGTTTTATTCACAACAACCATAAGAGATGCCAGTACAAAAGTTTTAATTTTATGCCAAAAGTCTCATGGTGGTGGCCCATCTGGTGGTGGCCCATCTGGTGGTGGCCCATCTGGTGGTGGCCCATCTGGTGGTGGCCCATCTGGTGGTGGTGACCATGGTGGCTCAGAAATTGGGAGTCATATTATGGTGAAAATCATGAAAAAAACATCAAAATTTCCCGAACTCAAAAAAAATTCATTTTTGCACCATACCTACCATCTTGAGCCACCGGAAATATTTTAAATTTGACCCGAAGTGGCTTTTTTTTGGCTAACAAACGTAAATATCAAAAAAGCAACTAAAGTTCCTCGTATACAAAGCCGTTCGTCTGTCTATCCGCCCGAGGGTTTTATTTGGGGAATTGAACTAGGGGGCTGCAAAACTCTTATTTTAGGGAGAAAAAATTCGCTGTTACCGAATCTGAACTCCGTTTGTAAAAGCATCATTTCCCGCCGGGTTTATTCGACTTTAAAATTCACAACCGCCGCTCAATTTATAGCGGGAATTGTGTTAAGAGCTGGTATTGTGCCCAGAGATTGCAGATATTCAGCGGAAATTGCAAATTGACCCATTCAGAATTTGTACGTCACACTACTACTACAGATTGAAAATTTTCAAAAGGCACTGCGCGACTTTTTTCATTTTCATTTTATTTTCAATCGTTATCTCCTAAGTTAGCTATTCCATTGGCGGATTTTAAACTACTGTAAAAACTGTAATAGTAGCCCCCCTCTATAGGAGCGTGGCGTAGTCTAAGTTTACACTCAAAAAAAACCGCTCATATCTCGGCGCCCAGACATTCCTTTCAGCGCGCCTAGGTATCAAATTAAAGTAGAGAGAATGGATGATTTTTTGAGATATAACCCATATTTTTAGCATTAACCAGCGCTTAGAACAAAATGATTGAAAAATGATAAAAAAATCGACCCTTTTTGCCACTTTTCAATCATTTTGTTCTAATGTCTGGGCGCCGAGATATGAGCGGTTTTTTGAGTGTAAACTTAGACTACGCGACGCTCCTAAAGAGGGGGGCTACTATTACAGCTTTTACGGTATGCGTCGTGCCCGACTCCTCCAGCGGTTAATGAATAGTATTCATAGGCAGTCCCTTTGCTTACGACTGTTTGAATCTAATTATGATTTTTCTGGCAACATTTTGGGAACATACCTAATTGATTTTTCAGGAAATTTGTTGGAAATGGTTTTAGTGTTAAACTAATTAAATACTAACTTTTGAGCTTATTTATTTTAACTAAAACTTTGGTACTATTTGGTTTGGGGAGGCTACTTTTTTTCGCGAAAACCTGGGGTCGGACAAATGCGACCTTTTTTTCGCTGGCCGTAGAGCTTCAAAAATGTCTTTCAAAAATTACGCAACTTAACGCTTTTCCGCAGTTTTCGCCTTTTAGCCCAAATTTGACGTGTCAGCGAGGTCTGATTTGTCGAAATTCAGAATCTACGCATACGACATACGCATACGCATATGACATGAACACATTTTTGAAGCTCTACGGCCTTTCCTGAGGCCTTTTCCAGCGAAATAAAGGGTGCGCAAAAAAAAGGTCGCATTTGTCGCAAATCTACCTTAAAAATGTCAATTACACCGGGAAAAGTGGTTTTGAAAGTGGCCTCCCCAAAGCCAATAGTACCAAAACTTTTTCGAAATTTAAAGATAACGTGAAAGATGCTTCTTTACTTTGTTTGTGATGTTTCAACGCTCAATTTAATACATTTTATAGGTCTAACAACAAAATCTGAAGCGGTGATATCTATGTCTCTTAACGGCTCTTTCAATTTCAAAATCTTCGATTCTCTCAAATGCACTCTTTGCAAGGCCCCATGCAAGTTTTTCTCTTTTTTATTACAGTGCTTAGAAGCAGACTCTATTTATTGACTTATGCCAATATTCTAAAGTTGCTATTTACATTTTGGTTTTTAGTTATTCCGCTTGCAAATCACCAACTTTCTCCACGCAAATTGGGATGCGGATTGGCGATGTGCAACGAATGTTTCGAGAGGGAGAAGGCGGCGAAAAAACATGGGAAACATCAATGTGATCATGAAAATTGCTTTCATAATACGAAACCGGCTCACTTTTTAATTGGTTGGCTTTTTTAATTAGTTTAGTTTTAATTGGTTAAATAGATATTCTGTCCCATGACTCGCTAAAGCTTTCTACTATACTTGGTGGTTACTATCTTGCAAAGGTTTGTAGATATTTCTCGTGGTTTCAATGAGATTGATTTAGCCATTTAACATTCCAAATTGTCCAATCTGTGGTGACAAATGTAAGTTGACTTGTTTGTTGAAAACTTGACAAATGTAAGTTTATTTTTTAGATTCCAACGAGATTTCCGGAAAAAAATCGTTTGTTCTTAATTGCAATCACATGATCTGCACGAAATGCTACCAAATCCAGGAGAAAAAACCGACTAAAATGAATGAATGGAAATTTACCATCAAGTGCCCAACTTGTGAATTTGTGACCAAGTCTGACGTCTACACGAGAAAGGATCGATTTCAGAGTATTGATTTACTGTCTTTTAAACTACCTAATGTATTCAGGTTTTTTTTGTTTAAATTGCCTGAAATGAATAGTTGATTTGATAGATTTAGATTTCCTGGATGAGCTGCCCAAGATGAATCAACAATTTGAAGCAAGATTAAAATTGAATCATTGCGCTGGGTGTCAGGAGCAGGTATGGTGAAATGTATGCTTTCGACACGTCAAATTTTTTCTTTACTTTAGAATACTGCTGATAAGATGTTCTACTGTCTGTTCTACAAGTGCCGGTTTGAGGCCTGTTTCGGCTTAAATAAAAATAACTGTTTTTTAGGTTTGTGGTGCTTGCGCTTATAGGAATCATCACTTGCACAAAGTTATTCCACTATTGGCGAAAAAGGTTCGTGTTAATTATTTGAATCATCCAAAATTATTTAAGACTGATGAAATGTTTGAGAATCTTGATATAGACAAAAACTGCTTTAGTAAACTACAGACGGATTTCGAGGGTGCTGCTGAGAAATAATTACCACATTTACTCAAGTTAGATGCAAAAATTAAGGTATTTTCATGATTGTGTGCCAAGATTCAATTTATTTTTAGCAAATGATTAAAACACTTGATAAGGATCCACATTTTTAAAAGAATGGGACTTGAATGTTTTATGAGGAACTTTAGTTGCTTTTTTGATATTTACGTTCTTTAATAAATGCTTTTTAAATTATATGAAGAGTGAAATTATTGTTCAAACGTGAATGTTTATTTTATAAACTAAAAATGTAAAGCGTGGAAAAGTATTTCTGTGTTTATCGAAATGTTTTGGGATTCCTAGTAGCTTTTTCGATGTGCATGCGTTTTCTTTTCTGGAATTTAAGTGTTCAAGTCGTTGAATTGCATTCTTTGCGATATTTTTGGTTGTGGAAAAATACGCAATTGTAGGTATGTCTTCGCGTCAATTGCCTACCTCCGATCAATGGACTTCAGAGTTTGCGCAGAAGAAAAATTAAAAATTAAATTTTTTAGCGATGAGCTGATCGAATTCACACGGCCGAATCGACCAAAAACGCAAGTATGTAGACATTGGCTGCGTGGAGAGTGCAAGAACACGCAAGAACAATGTGCATACCTTCACGAAAACAGGTGAATCTTCACAACTAAGGCATTTTTGTCAGTTATATCTTTTAAAAAACCTTTAAAACTGGTCTTGCAAATGTTTTCAATGATCAAAGCAGAATTTTAAACGATAGATCGATCGCAATCCGTCCGAAGAATGCGAAAACGCAAGTATGTAGACGTTGGCTGCGTGGAGAGTGCAAGAACACGCAAGAACAATGTGCATACCTTCACGAAAACAGGTGAATCTTCACAACTAAGGCATTTTTGTCAGTTATATCTTTTAAAAACCTTTAAAACTGGTCTTGCAAATGTTTTCAATGATCAAAGCAGAATTTTAAACGATAGATCGATCGCAATCCGTCCGAAGAATGCGAAAACGCAAACATGTGAGAGATGGCTAAAGGGAGAATGTACAAGACAACAATCATGCTGGTTTCTGCATGAAATCAGGTAAAAGATTTGCTTTTTTTAAGATTTCTTTGAAGAGTTTCTTAGTTTTATGACTTCTAGAGATTTTTTTCGTTGATTTCTCTAGATTTTGAAAGAAATTTCTTGCCCAAAGTGAACCACTTAAAGTTTAGAAGTCGGCCTACATCATCATCGTCTTTGAAAACGGAAACGTGTCAAAAATGGATGAAAGGAAAATGTGTCTACAAAGATGGGGAATGTTCATATCGTCATGATAGCAGGTAGCGATGTTACGTTGATAAAAATCTTTCGAAATTCTCCAGAAAAGAAGAAGGTAGAGAGGAGGAAAAGAAGCCGAAGAAAACGGGCGACAAATCACATAAAAATCGCCGACGTGACGAGCATGACTTATATGAAATTGCCATTGAATAAAGAATTTACTTCAAAATGACTTACATTTACAATCGTTGCTTTGAAAAGCAACAATGTTGCTGCTTAAAAACACCATTTACGCAATGTCAAAAGAAACTCACGGTTTGGAGAGGGAGAAAGAGGCGAAAAAACAAAACAGCAATGTGATCATGAAAATTGTTTTCATAATACGAAACCGGCTCACTTTTTGATTGGTTGTTTTTTTTAATTATTTTTTTTTTTTTAAATTTTATTTTTTTTTTTTTTTTTTTTTTTTTTTTTTTTTTTTTTTTTTTTTTTTTTTTTTTTTTTTTTTTTTAATTTTTTCCCCTCTTTTGTTTAGTTTTGATTGGTTAAATAGATATTCTGTCGCATGACTCGCTAAAGTTTTCTGCTATACTTGGTGGTTACTATCTTGCAAAGGTTTGTGGATATTTCTCGTGGTTTCAATGAGATTGATTTAGCCATTTAACATTCCAAAGTGTCCTGACGTCTACGCGAGAAAGGATCGATTTCAGAGTAATTGATTTACTGTCTTTTAAACTACCTAATGTATTCAGGTTTTTTTGTTTAAATTGCCTGAAATGAATAGTTGATTTGATAGATTTAGATTTCCTGGATGCGCTGCCCAAGATGAATCAACAATTTGAAGCAAGCTTAAAATTGAATCATTGCGTTGTGTCAGGAGCAGGTATAATGAAATGTATGCTTTCGACACGTCAAATTTTTTCTTTACTTTAGAATACTGCTGATAAGATGTTCTACTGTCCCGAGTGCTGTTTTGAGGCCTGTTTCGGCTTTTGAATTTGAATAACTCTGTTTTTTTAGGTTTGTGGTTTGGGAAAAGTATTTCTGTGTCTATCGAAATGCTTTGGGATTTCTAGTAGCTTTTTCGATGTGCATGCGTTTTTTTTCAGGAATGAAAGTGTTCAAGTCTTTGAATTGCATTCTTTGCAAGAAGCCGTGTAAGTTTTTGAGTTTTTTTATAGATAACATTCCAAGGCTTAACATGAATATTTTGATTTTTCACTTCTTTAGTTACTCCGGTTGCCAATCAGCCTTGACCTCCACATTAGTTGCATTGTGGATTGGCGATGTGCCACGAATGTTTCGAGAAGGAGAAGTCGTTGAAGGAGGAAGAGAGAAAACATCAATGCAACTGTACATATCACTTTGCTTATGATGACGGGTTTGCGCATTTTCTGCTTGATAGGCGAATTTGTTTGAGTTAAATCTTTTGGACTATTCAGATGTTCTATCGCAAGAAGATTCTTTGGCACTCTCGCACTTTGGTGAAGGGTATTTACTTGTAAAGGTTTGGGTAATGTTTTAATACTAATAATACCGGTTTTAGCCATGCAGAGTTCCAGAATATCCGATCTAGCATGGTGAATGTAAGTTTTGACTTTCTCTTCTAACATCAGATCTTTTGGATTGTCGTGTTGACAGCATACATTTCATTATGCCTGCTCCTGACATTCAGCGCAATGATTCAATTTTAATCTTGGTTCGAATTGTTGATTCATCTTGGGCAGCTCATCCAGGAAATCTAAATTTATCAAATTAACTATTCATTTCAGGCAATTTAAGCAATAGGAATTACTATCCGAGCTACAACGAGGCGCTTTTCCTTTATTTCCTTTAGGATTTCTTGAGTGTTGTTGCCGTTTTTCATTGCATTTTGGCCTTTTACTTGGTGTATCGAGATATGGCTGATCGAAACGCGAAAAACAGCCAAGAAAAGTGATCGATCAGATTGACTAGACCTATGTGTTGGTGATTTGTTTTTGGCGGCTTTTGCTATTTCCTTTTCTATCCATTCGGATCTGATTGTCGAATACCATAAGAGCATTCCATGTTAGAGCCATTTTGCCAGTCCGGTGAAAGGAAGAAAGAAGATTTTAGGACCGGATGTGTAGATCCAAAAATCACCTTCAATAGCCTAGGATGAGACGATGAAAAAAACCCCATTCGAAAGGATTGAACAATCACGCAATTCAGACCATAACACGCAAGGATTGAATCAATCAAATGACGATCGGCACTCCTTCTCATGGGGATTGTTGGGTGCACGTCGACTTCCGGCAAACCTTCTACGACGATGTGATATTCTGGTTCAAGCTCCTTCGCTAGGCCGATGTCCTCAAAGATGGGGGCGAGTTTTGATGGCTCAATTGGTGGTGGAAGAGGATGTAGGGGGTGACGCAGATTTCTCCTTATCAACATTCTTCTCCGTGACGAGTAGTCGTTCAATAACCTCAAGTTTGGGTAATTAATTAAAAGCAAAATAATTAAAAGAAAGTTTTAATGAAATAAGCCAGCTTTCAATTAAGTTTTCAGTTGAATTTGCTTTCAGGTTCAACACCCAAGTTTTGCTGTTTATTTGCTGTTGTACAAAAAAAACAGTTCATACTTTTATTTCGACACAAAACTTTATTTGCATTGGCTTAAAAGAAGTGACTGGAAGAAGATTCCTTTCGTAAATTTATTTAATTTGATAAGGCTGGTTTCATTTCTTCACTTTTGTCAAAAAAATTCATTTTCTCTTTTATTCCCAATGGATAACATGGAAAATGATGCTCATCAACCACTGTTGAATCAGGTAGGATTTAAAAATTACCTATTAAAGGTATTAAAATTTTTTGAAAGAAATATCAAAACGATTCTAGCTCTTTATCGTTAGAGTGCTTTTGGTTCATTGAGAGTGCATTTTTAGTTAGAGTTTTTTTGCAAAAGGTGAGACTCGAAAAAATTTACATTTACCCGTCTAGCTATACAATTATAATCTCTAAAAGTTGAAAAATAGGTTTAAATAATGACTTCAAACAAGTTTCAAGTTTAAACCTTTAGAATGAATCAGTGCAAGACGTCAGCCATCCACAACCAATCATCATCTCAACGAAAGAAGAAGAGATTGAGAAATATGAGAAAGCTGTTCAAAAATCGAAAATCCTGGTTTTCATTGTTATCATTACCACTATTTTATATTTTGGCTTGGCTCTATTCGCTCTAATCGTTGAGGGATACGTGGGAGAATATGTGAAAAGAAGCTGTCACAATCTGACCTATGACTTTAAACATATCTCGAAAATAATTCTTGTTTGCATCCTCGGCTTTTTCGTTTTCGCCTTTGTCTTTTTATCTTTGTTCTCGGCTTTTTTAGGCGCTTGGCACATTTTAAAGACATTAGAACATACAAGAGAGACCTATATGTTAAGATGTGCAAGGGACGATCCATCAGTGCCAACAATTTGGGTCGCTCACTATTGGAAAGCATTTCTTTCGAAATTCCAGGTCTACAAATTACGGGATTTCGATCAGGATTTAGTTGATCTTGATCAAGTTTATATGGTGTTGATTTCGTCGTTTAAAATGATGTTTCAAGTTCTCACAATGTCCTTTGCCACCTATTTGATTGGGATTTTTAATCGAAACTCGGCGCTTGACGGTGAGATTTCTCAACAATGCCACGGGAATTGGATCGAGGTTTATCTTTGGGGTGGAATCTCTCTTTTTGACGATGTCTTTTCCCACATTTTTATCATGGCTTTTCTTTTTGTTGTCATTTACACGGCATATTTCCTTAATTCAACCATTGCTCGTTTCAGTCATTAAAAGGAATAAAGAATATGTAAATTACCCTTACTCACTGTTAAAAGTTCAAAAAACGTTCTTATCCAGGGCGTAATTATCCTCAGAATAGCTGAAGGGTGAGCTAGATGCTAGAAAGAAATGACAGTGCCATAAAATAGTGTCAAAGAAATAATGAAAATTGTCAATAAATGAAATAGTCGATTACAAGTCCAAGAAGCAACGACAAAATGATAATTTTGTAAAGTTAAAATATGATATCAGCTTAGCACAAGTTTCTACTTGTTTATTTCTACAAATTTTCAACTTTTCTTTCAAAATTTCCTCTAAAGTGAAACATTTCTTATTCGCACACCCTGTTCAGCTTTCGATTTGAGCGCACAAACATTTTTCCTTCTCTTATATTTTTTGCAAAAGTTTTTATCAGCTTCATGCGACCAGTCACACGGATTTGGTGAGTCACTCACTTTAGATTTTTGCCTTTTCTCTTGTTTTTCGGTTATGAACAAATAAAAATAGAAACTGTTTTTTTACAACAGCAAATAAATAGCAAAATTTGGGTGTTGAACCTGAAAGCAAATTCTTAATTGAAAGCTGGCTTATTTTATTAAAACTTTCTTTTAATTATTATGCTTATTTTGCTTATAAACATTCTTTTAATTAATTAATTACCCAAACTTGAGGTTATTGAGCGACTACTCGTCACGGAGAAGAATGTTGATGAGGAGAAATCTGCGTCACCCCTACATCCTCTTCCACCACCAATTGAGCCATCAAAACTCGCCCCTATCTTTGAGGACATCGGTCTAGCCAAGGAGCGTGGATCAGAATATCACATCGTCGTAGAAGGTATGCCGGAAGTCGACGTGCACCCAACAATCTCCGTGAGAAGGAGTGCCGATCATCATTTGATTGATTCAATCCTTGCGTGTTATGGTCTGGATTGCGTGATTGTTCAATCGTTTCCAATGGGGATCTTTTCATCGTCTCATCCAAGGCTATTGAAGGTGATTTTTGGATCTACAGATGCGGTCCTAAAATCTTCTTATGTTTGCAAACTCTGCGAGTTTTTACTCGCGATAAACATAATATCATTTTTCTCATAACCTTTCCCGATATAATTTATTGTCCACCAATTTTGAGGTTGGACAATTTATTCAAAAACCTAATCCATATAAATCATAACCACAATAACAACAGCAAATGACGACAAAACGATTCCTAAAATAGGATGTAGGGGGTGACGCAGATTTCTCCTCATCAACATTCTTCTCCGTGACAAGTAGTCGCTCAATAGCAACATTACTCAAGAAATGTGGTGCCTCCTTGGGCTTCTATCGAATCGTTGATATATGACCGCATGCCGCTGCTTACCTTCCATCTAAACTAAATTATGATATAACTAAATTACCCGATTGAAAATTGTCCAGAATGAAAATTTTTGTCAAAAATTTCTCCTTTTAAACACGATTAACCACGAACTAGCCCTTGACCGGTTACGGTAAACAGCTTATAAGAAAAACACCATTTCTTTCTTTCACCGGGCTGGCAAAATGGCTCTACCATGGTAAGCTCGAATGGACGAGCGGACCCGAATCGATACAAAAGAAGAATTTCCTATTCGCACAGCCTGTTCATCTTTATAAGCGCACAAACATTTTTGCGAATATAAGCGCACAAACATTTTTGCTTTTCCTATATTTTTTTGCAAAATTTCTTATCGACTGAAACGGGTCACGTAGCTTGTGTGAGTCACTCACTTTAAATTTTTGCCTTTTCTCTTATTTTTTGGTTATGAACAAATATACAATTATAGGTATGTCTTCGCGTCAATTGCCTACCTCCGACCAAAGGACTCCAGGGTTTGTGACGAAGAAAAATTAACGTAAATTTTTCAGCGATGAGCTGATCGAATTCACACGGCCGAATCGACCAAAAACGCAAGTATGTGAACTTTGGCTGCGTGGAGAGTGCAAGAACAGGCAAGAGCGATGTGCATTCCTTCACGAAAACAGGTGAATCTTCACAACTAAGCCATTTTTGTCAGATATATTTTTTTAAAAACCTTTAAAACTGGTCTTGTAAATGTTTTCAATGATCAAAGCAGAATTTTAAACGATAGATCGATCGCAATCCGACCGAAAAATGCGAAAACGCAAACATGTGAGAGATGGCTAAAGGGAGAATGTACAAGACAACAATCATGCTGGTTTCTGCATGAAATCAGGTAAAAGATTTGCTTTTTTAAGATTTCTTTGAAGAGTTTCTTAGTTTTATGACTTCTAGAGGGTTTTTTTCGTTGATTTCTCTAGATTTTGAAAGAACTTCCTTGCCCGAAGTGAGCAACTTAAAGTTTAGAACTCGGCCTACATCATCATCGTCTTTGAAAACGGAAACGTGTCAAAAATGGATGAAAGGAAAATGTGCCTACAAAGATGGGGAATGTTCATATCGTCATGATAGCAGGTAGCGATATTACGTTGATAAAAATCTTTCGAAATTCTCCAGAAAAGAAGAAGGTAGAGAGGAGGAAAAGAAGCCGAAGAAAACGGGCGATAAATCATACAAAAATCGCCGACGTGACGAGCGTGACTCTTATGAAATTGCCAGTGAATAAAGAATTTACTTCAAAATGAATTACATTTACAATCGTTGCTTTAAAAAGCAAGAATGTTGCTGCTCAAAAACACCATTCACGCAATGTCAAAAAAACGCTCACGGCACTTTGTTTTTGCACCTTGTGCATTTATTCAGCAAATTTATTGTTGAACAAAGTTTCGCAAAGTTGCGCAAACATTCGGCTCAATCTTTCTCTTCATATAATTTCCCATCAAAGTTCTCCCCAGAGAACCTGATCGTTCACTATGATTTGTCGAGAATATCTCGGTTCAGTTACACAATTATTGGAAAACGATACCTGAATATTTCACAAAAAAAACCTAAATGTACAAAGTTATTTCTCGATTTACCAGGCTTTGAAATTTCAAATCTTCCGACAATTTTTGATGCACTTTCCAAAACACACGTCAAAATATTTACCCAATCATTGACAAGTTTATTTTCTTCAAAATAATGTCAAATATTTGAACATTTTCCATAGGTGTCGATAGATTTGTTTAACTGGAGTAAATACAAAACATGAATAGGTGAGAAGTGGCTAAAAAGGTGAAGAAAAGCAACAACAATTGTACTTTTTTAGGTTTACTTGGTGAACATTGGACATTTGTGGTTAAAGTAAAGATCCACGAAGTTGAAAGAGCTTTGAGATGGAAGAGTTTCGGATTGTGCGAACTTTTTTTTTCTCTCTGATCATTCTCTCTGAACTGAACATTCTCTCTGATCAGAAATCAGGATTTTTTGTTTTTACTCTTTTATTGGGGTACAAAAAACACAAAACACACGCCAGTAAACCCCAAAAAAACCTCTAAAAACGTTTTTTTAGTTACAGCATAGTTTACGCTCAGTTTTCATACATTTTTTCAGTGAAATAGGTGTCAAACGGCTAATGAAACCCATAAATAACAAGTATTTTGTTAAATTTAACTTCTTTTTAATTTCGTTACATTTATTTCTTGAAAACTATCTACAATTATTTCCTTTCTATATAGAAAATTGTGAAAATGACACGTGAGATTGAAAAAAAGCTTTTAGAGCTTTGAAAAAGCTTTCAGAGCCTTGAAAACGAGGCTTCCAGAGCTTTCAGCGACCTTTACCTTATTTGAAAGTTTTTAGTAAAAAAAATGTAGCACAAATTCAGAAATCGCTATCAAATCTCTAAAACTCAGTTCTCTATAAATTCTTAGACATTATTGGATTCAATTCGACGTTAAACACCTAATTTTAACGAAAAAGTAGACAAATTTTATGCATTTCTGTATTTATTCTTCTCGAATTCTTGTTGAAAATTATTCTGAAAATCTATTTTTTTGTTTTCCCCCTGTGTTTTTTTTCTTTTTTTTTTTTTTTTGTTTTTATTTTCAATAATAAACTAAATTTTTAAGTTTTAATGGGTTTTTTGTTTTTTTTCTTTTTTTTTTTTTTTTTTTTTCCTTTCTTATTAATATTATTAAATTTCGCAACTTCATTTTACAGAGTCTGGCTTAGTGGGCTGACTCTAAAACTGATCAAAAACAATATATTGCCTGTTTTGGTTCATATTAAAGTTAAGTTATTCAAATCCCGAAAATACTTTCCTCAATTTAACAAACTTTAGTGACAAAAATGAACACCAAAAAAGCTAGGAAATCCCATTTTCCAATGAATCACTGGTTTGAGCACAACTGTTGTTCGCAAATATTCAAATGCGAAAAGTTCTGCCCGAAAAGAGCATGAGTAAACAGAAATATGAAAAAGAGATCATTCATCGACATCAACAAGTTATTGGTTGGGTATTTAAGGGATGTGTTTGGTGGTTATCGGACATTTGACACGCCCGGACCATTTTCTCATTAGCAATCTAACTTTGAGCTCAAGTATCTTGGTGTTGGGCTGTCCAATTTAAATATTCTTTGGTATCATTGGGCGCGCCAAGTCTTTATCTATCGATTCGTACCAAAAACTATTTCAATTGGACAACTCGATACCAAGATATTTGAGCTTTTCGATTGCCAATGGCAAAGGGGACGGCCCCGCCCCCTTTGCCATTGGCAATCTAACTTTGATCTCAAATATCTTGGCGTTCGGCCGTCCAATTGAAATAGTTTTTATACCAATCGACAGAGAAAGACTAGGCGCATCTGATGATACCAAGAATATTTAGATTAGACCACCCAACACCAAGAAATTTGAGCTCAAAATTGAATTGCCAGTGGCAAAGGCGCTCACCTTTTATACGTGCCCCACCCCCTTTGTCATTGGCAATCTAATTTTGAGCTCAAATATCTTGGTGTTCGGTTGTTCAATTTGAATATTTTTGGTATCATTGCATGCGTTGGATCATTGTATCCAAGTCTTTCTCTATCGATTGAGTGAAACATTCATTGTTTAGCTTTGTGACATCAGCTACCAATACAAATGATCAAGACGTTACTCATCACATCGGCCATTTTCGCAGCATTCTTTGCTTTGTGAGCTTAAAAACTTAGAAATCTATATATTAACAAAGTGGCAAAGCCTAGAGGAATAAAATTTTGATTTTAGATCCACGGGAAACAATCAAAGCCAGATCCAGAACCAGGGCCAAAATGGTTACAAAAATCAAACCCACCAGGGAGGCCGATTTGGAAATCACACAATGGGAAACGAAACTGGTTATTTATATAGAAAAATCTATATAATTTACAGACATATTTTATACCAAACACCTTTTAGACAGCAATGAGGACAACGATGAGGGTTTCTATAGTGGATTCAGAGGCCAGGGAAAACAGGGTGAGTGAATTGTTGAGGTGATTTCAATAAATTCTCCCTAATTCCCTTTTCTGATATATAAACTTTGTAAATAAGTTAATAGCTTGCTTTCAGGAGGAAATTTCGGTCAAGGACAAGGCCAGGGACAAGGCCAAGGACAAGGCCAGAGACAAGGTTTATACAACAAAAAACTCTAACTTAAAGTGATAAACTTTTTATAGTAACTATTTTATTGTATAATAATATTAATTTACTTATAAATTATGATGTTTCAGATCAATCAGGTGCCCAAGGGCAAGGCCAGTTCAGTCAAAGAGGCCAGCAGGGACAAGGACAAGGTCAAGGTTCGTTTTTTCATGAGAAACACTTGAACTTGAAGACTTGAAAATTTTAAGTCCTTTGGAATAAGTTATAAAAGTCTATACTTAAATGATATAGCTTTTCATATTCCAGTTCAATCTGGTGGCCAAGGGCAGGATAGGGCTTTCGGTAACGGTCAGAACAGCCAACGAGGTCAAAATGGACAAAACAGTGGCTCCCAAGGACAAGGTGCTGTAAAAGCTTGTTGAATTTTGCATAAATATCCTTTTAATCAACCGTAAGAGCTTGTTTAGCATTAATAAATGCATTAAATTGAGTCCTTTTATACTGTTTTTGCTTGATGACAGAAGTCTATACGTTCGAGCTTCACAAATGAAGTCAATCAAAAGATGCTATATTCGTTTTTTCTTAACTTTTTTCAATCAATGATTATTACAATAATTTCCAGATAAAAGGATAGAAAAGAATAGAATATTTGCTTTAAAAAATCTGCCTTTTCAAAGAAAACGTCGTATTTTTCTTTTTGAGATCAAAGCGGAAAAATAGAGCGTTAATAGAGGATTTACGGTAAATTTTACTAAGCTTTTCATCAAAGTTTTATAAATTCCAGGTCAATTCGGCAGTCTAGGACAACAGAGAACACAAAATGGACAAACTGGACAACAGGGTGGGGGACAAACTGGACAACAGGGTGGGGGACAAACTGGACAACAGGGTGGGGCACAAACTGGACAACAGGGTGGGGGACAAACTGGACAACAGGGTGGGGGACAAACTGGACAACAGGGTGGGGGACAAACTGGACAACAGGGTGGGGGACAAACTGGACAACAGGGTGGGGACAAACTGGACAACAGGGTGGGGCACAAACTGGACAACAGGGTGGGGGACAAACTGGACAACAAGGTGGGGCACAAACTGGACAACGGGGTGGGGGACAAACTGGACAACAGGGGTGGAGGACAAACTTTAAAATCTTTTACCAACTGAATATCTTACAACTGTTACTAGACTCAAATCTTCTATTTTCAGGTTTCTACGGTGGAATCGGATCTCCATATATTGGGCAATAAGTTGAAGTTTTAATCTAAAGCATTATTTCGTCGAAAAAACCTCTTTTACCGGTAAATTCTGATGTTTTGATGTGATTTTGACTGTAGAAAATTTGTAAAATAAAGCTGAATTCGATCTGGGATTAGAACTTGAGCTGGAGAAGAGATTGAAGATTTTGGAAGACAAGGTGAAAAGAAAAGATGTCTAGAGTTTTGAGAATAAAAAGAATTATGAGAAAGTCAAGAACTCAATTAGAAATTAAAAAAGACAGCAAATGATCATAATAATGAAAAGTTTCGCAATTCTTTGTTGTTAAAATACGCTGATTATAAAACATCAGCTCTTCTGATCTCTCACACATCACTCCCATGTTATGCAATCGGAATTTCCCCATTTTTCTTGCTCAACGCTTTGATTTTTATGAAAATATGAAAGAAATTGATGAGAGAAATCCTTTTAGAGTTTTATTTCATTAAAAGTTGAAAGATTTCTGAAAAATCTAGCCAGATCTTTATTTTGCTTTTCAGTCTTTGCTTTTCTTCTTGGTTTCATTGAAATTAAAGCCCTAGATATTTAATATTTTGTTACTGTTCTTAACTGATCACTTTGCTCATTGCATCAAAACATTTTGAGAAGAGAGCCCACGAAACATCACAAGTCCTTAAAGTCAACAGATTATACAACAACAGATTATCCAACAACAGGCCATGTGTGATAATGTTAATGTGCTGAGTTTTAAATACAATAGTGTCAATAATCATTTATCTATCTAAAAAACAAAACAAATGTAATAACGTCAAGATCGTTAAAATTAGCAAAAACAAAAACTCAGGCCAAGGCTAGGCCAGAACCAGGCCAGGCCAAATCAAGGCCATGACTTTTGGCCTAGCTTTGGCTTGACCTGGCTGGCCATGACTTTTGGCCTTTTTGTCCAGCCCTGAGTTGAACTAGGGTAAAAAGTTAAAAAAGCTATTTCTTTCTACTTTCAGTCTTTTCCACAATGATCTTTGGTTAGACAAAAATTTTTTTTTTCTTATAAAATTGAAATTTTAAAGAATTCCAAAATTGACTGAATATTTTGACGAGTGACAGAGAGACATTAAACCAAACATTTCGGAATTCTTTTGCATTCAATGTTTTCTGAGGCATTCGATGTTTTGACGAAAGTTTGACCCATCAACCAATATGAAATTTTGAGAATGAGAAATGTTTCTGGCAATCACTGTTTAAATAGACTGAAGGAAGGGAAAGGAGAAAGGCATTCATTTCCCCTAAAATGGTCTCTTTCTTGCTGTTGTTCGTCTTATCCACCGTAGCTCTTGCTCAATACGGAGGATATGGGCAAGTGAGTAGTTTTGATCCAACAATAGATAGTAACGCTTTAAAGTTTCTAACTCTTAAAGGCCAACAAATCTAGCAACAGTAGCTTTACCGCATTCAAATTTAGAGTGGTTCCAACGGTTACTCGCCAAGCTACTCATCACCCACCTACTTATACCCATGTATGTTTCTCATTAATTTGGTATCTCTCTTCTCTAAATCTCTTCAGACTACAATGACTATCATGATGACTCGTCGAGCAGCTCTTCGAGTAGCAGTGAAGAGAAATGCAGCGAGAGAAAAGTCGAAAAAGCAAAGTGTCCGAAGAAACTCCGCTCAGATGGAACTCATTGCAAGACACCAAATACCAAGTAAAGCATAAGACTCTACCCGGCAATGGAATACGTGTCGGTGTAGCTCATTGATAGCTTTCGGCTGATAAGCGGCTGATAGTTCGGCTGATAAGCGATAGGTCACGGGTTCGAATCTCGGCGTCGACTTTGTATTCCTCAACCCATAAAAGGACTAACTAGCAGATTTTGATCAATACCTTTTAAAACAAAATATTCCAGAAATTGAACAACAATAATTTCAGAAGAGTTGAAATGAACGATAAGGATTACTTGAAGGTGACTTGTAATGGGAAATCAAATGAATGGACGGCTCTTGTCACCGGGAATGGGAAAGTGAGTGGAAAGAACTTGAGCTTTTATGTTAGATTTTAATGGAAAATATATTTTTTAATAATATATTAAGATTTTCCATAAGTTCTTGTGATTCTAAAATTTGTGATTTCTTAAAAACCAGCCAATCGTTTCATTTGAAATTTTTAATGAATAATCTACAAGTAAATGCTAACTAGTATCCAAAATTTGATAACGATTGCTTAGTTCAATCGAGCGAATGAGATATGTCTGTTCAACAAAGTCAGCATTGACTGATTTTTAAGAAATCACAAATCTAAGAACCACAATAACTTATGGAAAACCCTACTTTAGGCACACAAAGTTTAGGTGATCACGGTGACTTCCGGCAAACTCGAACACGTGTTGGCCTGTTCGGATAGAAAGTAGATTTTTCAGAAAAACTGTAACTTAATCAAATGATTTCTAGAGACAAATGGAGAACTCGTACTTTTAAAGGCGAGAAGATCTATCTGAATCACGTTTTCTGCGTAACTGGAGGTAAATTTTTGAGAAAATAAAATAAAATTCTCCTTTCTAGAGCTCGTCGACAAATTCCTTGAGAAAAAAGGTGAGTTTTTGAAGAAACAAAAAACTTAGCTTGACAATTTTGTTAACATTACAATGTTCCACTTTCAGGAGCACCATCAGGTCCCCCATCAACACCAAACCCAGGTTATTTGTGGGAAAAGAAACCTTAAAGAAACCAAATAGGAACCAAATTCTATGCAACATTATTTTTCGTTAATTTTAGCAACACTTTCTTTACAAAATAATCTTTTAAGTTAAACTTTGACCAGCTTTTAAACATTCTTGCACCTAAAGCTTTGGAAAAACCTTAAAAAACAACAAAACGAGTTTCAGGCACCCCAAGACTCGTCTTCGTTTTCCCGCAATTCGCAGTCTCGCAACCTGACTCAAATTGCCTCAGCTGTCAAACGGTTTAGCGTCCTTTGTAGTCTCATAAACACAAAAACTTAGATGAAAGACTCAGCCACCGGTGTCCTCCAAGGCCTGGCTGAATCGGGCGGAGATGTCCCACCGGTCACTCTCTTTGTCTACGGCCTCAATCAAACGGTCAGTGCAATTGGACAAGAGCTACTCGGAGCTGGAGCTTGGTTGGCTGGCTTCCCGTGTGATGGACCGAAGAATACACAAGTGGACGAAGAATTGTAAGGAGATCGATCGGTCGTAGTCGTAGACTTGCTCATTTAGAATCATTTTAACCGTTTTTATCAGTCTTTACAGCTTGAAAGGTATGTTAAACGTGGGAAACTTTTCCACAATGTACCTATTGACGTTATGATTAAATTTAGCTACAAAGAAGCTAACTAATCATTAGTTTTCCACTACTGATCCCTATTTTTATCAATTCAAAATTTCAGCGGCTTGAAACAGCTCAAGAGACAAACGCAAATCCAATCAAGCGACTCGTTGATTTACTTTGCTCCTTGCGAAAAGATCAAGTGAGAATTATCAAAATTAAAAGATCAAGCTCTTTTCAGGATTCCATCCGACAAAAACGACGTCTCAAAGAAGTTCGCTTCTGTTGAAGCATCGGTGAAAATTGTGATTCAAGCAAAGGACACTCACTCATCGCTGTACAACACCGACAACACTCAATTCGTCAATGGAGACGATGCGGCCACCATTGCCCCGGAGATCCTCAAAGATTTGCAGAAGTGATGTACAATTTTTGAATAAAAGCACTGCAGTTTTTCTTTTATCAACGAAAACTAAGCATTTTTCTTCTTCAGTTAAAACAAAGTCGGTAAGGAATTGGGAGAAGATGAGCACACTGCTCGCATTTGATCCGGTAACGCGTTTGAGCCATTTGATTGCTTCACCCGGAAAAGCGTTTCCACAGAGAAAAGCTCCGCAAAAATCTCATTTTATTAACAAAACTTCAAAATTAGACCACTTATCATCGGCATTTTTCTGTAAAGTGGCTACGGTCTAGCAACGTTGAAGCACCGTATCCCGTCAGATCTGCGAAGTTAAGCAACGTTGGGCTCGGTTGGTAGTTGGTTCGGAGACGGGCTAGCGAATCCCGAGCTGCTGTAGGTCGCCTGGTCGCCATGACCGAGTTTTCCGTTCCTTCTCTTCCCCTCCCCTCCCCTTCCCTTTCCCTTTACCCACCACTATCTTGGGCTAACCGGTTCCTTCGAAAGCCAAACCCAAACAACAAAAGCTTCATTGTTTTCATTATATAATATTTGTGCACACCAATGAAAGCGACGCTTTCGAAAATTTATTTTGAGATACTGTGGAAAGACACTGTTGCCAGGTGATTCGTCGATTCGTCGCCGGGAGTCTCTCAAGAAAAAGGACCCTCTTTTTGGATTGTTTGGAAAAACCATTATCTATTAAGTTGAAAAGAAAGTTCTCGAAAAAAAGTTTGACTGGAATTTTTAAAAACAACTCCACCAATTCAAGAACATTTTTTTTTCCACTATTTACAAGTCGACTCCAAGAAATTACTCGCAAAAAAATGAGTCCATTAAAACTATAGAGTTTAAAAAAAATTATTATTTTCCAGCTTAAATTCAGCTCACTTTTTGCACCAGAAAAACGATTCCTTATGAGGTAAAGCTATCATAAATGAGCAATACGCTCTATAATCTGAGTCTGTCGTCTATTCTGATCTTCTGCTCTTTTCATTTCACTTCATGCTTGAGTTTCTGAATAGAATCAATCAAATAGTCAGCTTGAAAACAGCGTTTTTGATTCAAAGCAATCAATAAGTAACTCCCAAGCTAACTATTCGATTGCATTCCCAAATTTACGCTTTTCTTAGAAGACGATCTACTGTTGGACTTTCTATCGTTTCTTTCCTCATTCGTGGATTCATAATGTTCCTACAGAAGTCACCGATTGTCAACATTTCTATCCGAATTTTTCGTTACTTGTCATTTAATAATTTTCAGTATTACCTATTTTTTACTTTAGGCAAAAAGTGAACGGAGGGTTTTTATGAGTGTGGTTTCTTTAGAGAACTCTTATGAGGTAAAGCTATCATAGCTGAGCAATACGCTCTATAATCTCTATTTTTGGTTAACAAATCTTTTACAGAGAAGCTTTATTTCAAAAAAAAAAGAATTTTTTCAGTGTCATCTTCTTGGCACTGAATGTTTGCTAAAATAGGTGATTCTGAAAAGTGAAAGAAATTAGATCAAAATTTGCCTTAATCACAAATTTTCTCTATTTTAAGTACTTTATTTTAGAGTTTTGAATGAGACCCATCGCCTCTTCATTAACCCATTAAAAACTTGTCTAAACGCTGCTCTCTTGGATACTTGATTTTAGCTTTTAAATGGCCCTTATTGTCTATTCATTAACCCATTAAAACTTGTCTAAACGCTGCTCTCTTGATAGATAGCTTTAAATGGCCCTTATTGCATTCATTAACCCATTAAAACTGTCTAAACGCTGCCGAACTTGATTTTAGCTTAAATGGCCCTTATTGTCTATTCATTAACCCATTAAAACTTGTCTAAACGCTGCTCTCTTGATTACTTGATTTTAGCTTTTAAATGGCCCTTATTGTCTATTCATTAACCCATTAAAACTTGTCTAAACGCTGCTCTCTTGATTACTTGATTTTAGCTTTTAAATGGCCCTTATTGTCTATTCATTAACCCATTAAAAACTTGTCTAAAAGTGATCAAGTCACTTCAGCTGAAGAAATCTCTGATTTTTTTTTACCTGAAGCCAACTCTGGTTTCTTTTGTCAAAAACTTTTTGAAATATAGTCAAGTTTATCAAAAAATCTGGAAAGAATTGATGGCTTGGTTTTTGAGAAATCATTGTGCAAACTTTTTCCGAGAACTTTCTTTCCAACCTAATAGAATTGAGGGCTGTCTGTCTGTCCGTCTGTCTGTGGGCACGAAAATTTTTCGAGGCGTGTAGGAGCAGGTGTGAGCGGATAGCGCACCGCACCACATCCGCACGAAATAAGTTTAAGCTTATTTTATAGGAATTTCACGTCATTCGACCCAGAAAAATTTGGTGATACCGAAAATCGATTTGTTTTAAAAATTCAGTGGATGGGACAAATGCGACCTTTTTTTTTGCGCACCTGGACATTTGCGCACCTTTTTTTTTGCTGGAAAAGGTCTTAGGAAAGGTCTTAGAGCTTCAAAAATGTTTTCATATAAGGGAATCGTATGCGTAGATTCCGAATTTCAACAAATCACACCTCGCTGACACGTCAAATTTGGGCTAAAAGGCAAAAACTACGAAACTTAACGCTTTTCCGCAGTTTTTGCCTTTTAGCCCAAATTTGACGTGTTAGCGAGGTGTGATTTGTTGAAATTCGGAATCTACTCATACGATTCCCTTGTACGAAAACATTTTTGAAGCTCTAAGACCTTTCCTAAGACCTTTTCCAGCAAAAAAAGGTGCGCAAATGTCCAGGTGCGCAAAAAAAGGTCGCATTTTGTCCTATCCCCAAAATTCATGCGACAGCTTTTCAGAAATTGACATTTTAAAGAAATTTTACACAGAAGTTTTTCCTTTTAAACGGTCCAAAATGTTGATATATTAGCAATTTGCAAAAGCGCAAAAATACAAGATACAAGATACAATACAAGTACTTTCACAAAAACTTTTGTGAAGGCTCTTTTATTCTAATAATTTGGTTGCAAAAGTTGAAATGTTCAATAGAAAAAAAAAGACAGAATCAAATTTCACAAACAAATGCCTCATTTTTTATTGTCCAGTTAGCATATTTCTCCATTTCTTGGACTATAACATTGATTAGTTTTGTAGCAGCATTGTTGGCGAAGGTAGCCGCAGTCCAAACATCGCTAAATCGGTTCAGTTTGTTATTATTTTTTACTTTTTCCAAATGATATCTGTACAAAAGATCTTTCTATATAAGATAGTATTTTTTCGAGTCTATCTGTCCCACAAGCTAGTGTCGTTAGATTACGGATATTATGGTGGGAAAAGCACATACCCGTTTGACACGAGTTGGGCGCATCCCAGCAACACCAGCTGTCAAAACCATCGCCAAGAGGAGGAAGATAAGGAAAAAACGCATTGGTTATGAAGGTGAATAGAACTGAAAATCAAAGCAAATGGTCACATTTAAGGAAATCATATTTATAACGAAGATCTTTCTTTTTTGGCTAAATGGTAAAGAGGAGCAAAGGGGAGTAACAAAGGTGGAACGGCATGTCAACGGTTCGGTCACAGCGTCATGGTCAAAGTCGTTGCAAAAATCCAATGATAAATGGGAAAATGATTGAAAGCACGAGTGTGGATGTAAACAACAACTGAAATCACGTTCCCCCAGAAAGAACGTCCAGTAGAACTTCCCCAATGTTTTCCCCCAATTTTACATCTAAAGCTTGGCTTGGGAAACCTGATTTACAGAGAGTTGGACAAGGAAGCACATTTAGACCAGCTTATCAGAGAAGAATTTGAAAAGTTCGTAAAACGACTAGCTTCTATAAATCATTCAAACCGAACGATATGAACGGTCAAAAATTAAAGAAATTATGCTTGCATCGCATTATTTATCGACAGCTCAGCTCAGCTTCGAAATTTGTACAGTTTGCCTCGACACTTTTTCGGAATTTTGTGACTTAACTAGCTCCGTTGTGTCGTCTTTCTCTGAAAGTCAAATAGAGGAAATATGTGACACTTCTAATTGGCTCCTAGCTATGCTGGAAAGTTTGGCTTTAGGAATGCGATCAATCAAAATGACTGGTTTCAATCAAAATGACTAGCATAGCTAGAAACATCTACCGGGATTTTTAAAGCAAAATAAATGTTTGGCTAACATGGGAGAAGAAGGGTTAGAATCTCTTCATTTGCTCAACTATGTACGAGGATTAAACTCGAAAATAAGCTGAACAACTCGTATACAAAATCTCGAGAATCATGCCCTTTCACTGGGTTTCACTTATGTCGGCGCCGTCTCACTGGTCACGGATGACCAGCTAAACATTCTCGTCGATACCCCAAATCAAAATGATGTGAAGAATCGAAACGTGATGATAAAGGGTTGGTAGCACTAGTAGCACTTTTTATGCCATTTTTTTTTCTGGCTTTACAACGAATGGGTCCAGCTGTCCCAGATCAATTATCTCATCACCACTCATGGTAATCCCGATCACTTTGGACAAGGAAACCTCAAAATCTAAAGGAGAATGGTAAGAAGATTTAAATTCCTTGAAAGATTGACTAATTTTTTTTAAAGTTTAAAGAAACGTCTGATCATTTTTGAATTACAATGTTCAGCCTAAATTTTCGCGAAGATGATAGATAACAATTGCCGAAGAAACTTTCACACACACAAAAACTGAAAATTATTCAATTGAGTGCATATGTTTAACCTTTTTTCGCAATGGTTAATCGACTTTTCGGTGGTGGGTTTGGCCGTTTCTTGCAGCCAAAAACCTTAATCTCATTTCAATGTTCTATTAAAATTCAACAACTAAACCTAAACTTTGATGTCAAAATTCAGGAAAGTTTGAGAGAAAATGAAAAGGAAGAGATTATCGTCCACTAAAACGTCAACTGGCAGCAAAACTAAACTGTGGAAAAAAAAAGATGTAAACTGATCTTTGATTTGAAAAAAATGAGAACCTCTCCTAACTCTTTACAATAAAAGTTGAAGCTTTTAAATCGAAAATGCTTGTATTACTTAACCCATTCGAAACCGCAACGCTTTTTCTTTTTATTCGTCTACGTACCAAGCCCTTTTTTTTGACCTTTTTGACTCCGAAGCAGTTTATTTATGGTTGGAAAGATGTGAGAGAGTCTCCTACTCCATTTATTTTTGATGAAGAACGATTTCGATTTGACTTCAGTACTTTTCAAGATCCTATCGATTATTATTCTTATTTTATCGACGACAAATTAATCAATATGTTAGTAGGCGAATCTAATAAACATGGAAAAAGAAAAACAAACAAAGAAAGAATTTTGATGCAAAATCTCTCAAGCTCTTCCTCTTCAATCATCTGTATCTTCAAATGGGAATCGTCAAATTACCGAGGATTCGTGACTACTGGAGTAGCAGACCTGGATTAGGAGGATTTTCCCACATGTCCCACATTATGTCAAGAGCAAAATTTGAATCTATTCTTCGAAATCTGCGTTTTTGTGATAATGAACTGGATCCTGCAGCAGATCGGCTTTATAAGATTAGAGCTATTATGGAACATTTCAATGCAAAACCAGAGACTGCATTGATTCCGGGTAAATATGAAACATCTTTTTTGCCCACGTAATTTGTAGATCTGCTAGAATCGGAATATGCATGTAATGCTGAAAAACAGCAAAAAAAACCAATTAATTGGATGAAGATGGCTCAATTAGCGCTGCAGCGAATAATCGCTGCAGCGGTCCGTTTCTGAGTTTTTGTTGCAGCGGTTATTCGCTGCAGAAGTTTCGAATGGGTTAACTAAAAGGCCAAGTCAACGTGTCGATTGACCACTGTGGCTGACAATAATAAACTCAACTGTGGCTTCATGATGAGATGACTAAAACAGACGCATACCTGACTCTTGTGTTAGCAAGACTTACCGGATTTTGAGCAAACGATCATAACAAGGTGTACAACTAATGATCCCAAAGAATCGACGCACAACATTGTTCCATAGAAACGAGCGAGTGCTAGAGACCGGTATTGTCTTTATCATTGTTTTTTATAGACTTTAATAGGAAATCATGGCGATTTTACTCAATATCTAGATAAGTTCATTTCCCTGTCTCCCCCGAAACTGATCTCTGCCTCTACTTCCCCAATTTTTCCATTTTTCCAATGACCCAAGCAGTTCATCGCTTTTTTTCAGTCTTTTGGCATCGCTTCAAGGATTTGCATATAATTTTTGCACAAAAACCTCTTTTCCATCAACAAAAAGACATAAAGGCAGTCCAGTAGAACAGTTTTAAAAAGCACAGGCTAGTTTCTGTCGTTTTGTTGATTTGAATAACTAGCACTTTACAGTACCTTGCACTTAAAACATTCTTGTAACTTTTAAAGTTTAGGTAATAAAAATGGGCTTGTTTTTTGTATTGTACGTGATGAGCATCGTCTTCTGCAGCTGTGTCGGTCACTCAATAGAAAGTAACAAAATATTTGCATAACAAAGAAGTGAAGGAATTGACAAGAAAAAGTACAGGGTGGCTTATAACTATCGTGACAAGATATTTGAAAGATTCTTAGCTACAAAATGATGGCTTAATTGTGAAAATTGGCGTAGTCTTCTTTTCTATCTGAGTGAAACTTGCTACTCTCTAGTTTCTAAGAATTCTAAGAAACTAAGAATCTCTAGTTTTAAAATAACTAAAATTTATCCAATATTAATGTACAACAAGCAATTATTGCTTTCAAATACCTTTTCACGATAATTATTGGTCACCCTGTAGATTTCCGGAGAGGATATTGAACTCTCAACCCTCAACCCTTTGTTTTTCAATCTATTGCTCTAATCACTGAGCTATCCGATACCTTAACTTGTCAAGAGAAAGAAAGAAAGAGAAGGAAATAAGCTCAATCATTACTAAACAATTTCTAATAAAAGTTGACAAGTTACAAGTTACAGAACGTGGCACAGCATCGTGTCTAGCGTGTCCCTCGCTACTCCCATCACGATGCCCACTACTCGATGAGTGCAACATTTGCACTCATTCCGATTTCAAAGATGGCAATAGTATGCTGGGTGAGGCAAGCTGCAGAAAAGGCTTTAACCTATAAAAGACACTGTTGATGAAGCAAATAAACCTCAACAGGAACAATTTAAAACTCCAACAAGCTTATGAATCTGAATTGTTGTGTTAGGTTGGGTAACAAGACAGTTTTTTTAAAAGTCTACTGTATTGTGTTGTTTTCTCAGGCTGTCTCACATCGTGGATCTCATGCCCAGGTGGTGGGGCGACTCGGGTGGTTCTCGAGTTGTGGAATGGGCACACGATATCGAGAAGATCGGACAGATTGGGGTTAGTAAGTAGATTTTGTTTATAACCTACAAAGTTTGCTGAGTTAACTCTATCATACACTTATGACTTCCAGAGCTTTCGTTTGTCAAAGCGATGGCCGATGGATGGTGCACGAGTTGAACTACACGGTGAATGACGTGAAAACGGCCACTTGTTATACGGGTTTAGAAATCGCAACTGGTAAAACACTTGACTTTTAGCTGCTGCCGATAGCCAGAACTCGCCAATAAACTTGAACACAAAAACAGCTGTCAGAGACCCGGCTCTTGGCATTCTTCAAGTTAACTATGCGGCTGGTGATGGGGATTCGATGACATGGGTGGGTTACCGTTTGAGAACTTGTTGAGTACCTCTCAGAAGGGCCGCAATTATAGCGCCGCACTTCAGAGAACCTAGATTAGCCAAAATTGGGTAAATCGTCCTGATTTTTCTGGAGGTAAATCTTAAGTATTTCTCCTTGAGCGGTGCCTATTATCTAAACGTTTGAAGCTTTCAACTTTCTTATACAGCCTTCCAAAGTTGAGAGCCGAGTGTCGCTCGGCACGCTACTTATTTATGGGATTTTTGAGAGCTATCTTGTTAAAATCTCGTTGAGATTGAATTTCTTATGTTAATGAGCGAAATTTCACATGCTCTACGCAGTTTAAGTGCAAAAATTCTTGAGAAATGTCACCAAAACTTAAATAATATAATCTGTTTTCACTTGAACCATTCAGGGAAAGGGAAGCCACTAAGCAACAAGAAAATCTTATTGTTTCAAAGTCTATAGCTTTTCTTTTCATAAGTAAATATGGTTAATTGTGAATCATTAAAATCTTGAAGACTTTTTATCAAAAAAATGAGACTTTCAAAATCCCATAAATATCATGCCGAGCGACACTCGGCTCTCAGCTTTGGAAGGTTATTTTAAAAGGTTGAAATCTTGAATCGTTTAGATAATGGGCACCATTCTAGGAGAAATTCTTAAGATTTATCTCCAGAAAAATCAGAACGATTCACCCAATTTTGGCTAATCTAGGTTCACTGAAGTGAGCCACTATAATTCGTCACTCTGTCGAAAAGCATTGGCCTTTAAACTTCTTTCTTTACAGGGTGCCAATTCAACGTTTACCCTTAAAACCTCTGTGCCTTACAATCGTTCAAGTAAGGAAATTGTTGTGCTCCTTGTTTGCTTCATAAAAATCTTTAGCATTTGCGGCCACTCAAACTGATGGGTCACGATATAGTCTGTATCAAATGCACGCTCACTGGGGTCAGAAGGGAGCACCGGGTAGTGAGCACTCATTGGATGGACAGAGATACGTGGCTGAGGTGAACAACTTTACAGAGCAAATGGTGTATTCTTTGTGTCCTTTAGAAGAAGAAGATTTTCAGTTTCACTTTGTACATTTCAATCCCGACTATGCGACTTTTGACAACTCGGTCGGAAAGGAGAACGGGATTGCCGTGATCGGAGTGTTTGCTCAGGTTTGTCACAAGATATCGCTGAATGACGCCTGCGCTTAAAAGAAACTCAAATTGGCTTTAAATTAAGTTAGAATTAAGTTCTTTATAACATTAGAAAGCCCAAATACCTGAACACTTTTGTACAAAAAAAAGTATAAGATCCAGGCTATTATTGGGTTAATGCATTGAAAATCGGCTGTCAGAGCAAAGTTGGCTTTTGAATTAACTAATACACCAATTAAAATACGGATTGCTTTAATAAAAAGACATTACTTTTTAGTTTTAGCTAATTTTGAAAAAAACCGCTCTTTTGAATGGTTCATTGGCGATTTTAAAAGATGACTTTGAAATTACAGCATTTGCAATGCATTGGTCTAACTTTTCAATTTCTAACTTGTACGGGCAGTTTGAAAACGGGTAACTATAACAATTGTGTCGATTTGCGCTCTAACTTTTTGCTCTAACTTGATTGGACGATCATCATTCGACAAAATAGATACAGTCAATTGTTCATTTGCAGCTTCAAAATCTTATAAAGTATCTAAATTCCTCAAACTTTTTGTTTAATAATCAAATTTTGTGCTCCAGCTAGGTGCTGCTAATCCCGAATTCGACAAAATTCTCAATGCCATCAAAAAAGGCGATGCATCAGACGTTCACGGTGCCACAGCTCATTTGACATCCGGTCTCAAGTTCAACTACAACAAAATGATGCCGGGTAATAACTGAAATAAAGTTTACTTAAAAATCTTCTAACTTCTACCCAATTTCTAACTTATACGGGCAGTTTGACAACGGGTAACTATAACACTTGTGTCGATTGGACGATCATGAAGACGCCGATCACGTTGAGTGAGGCACAGGTGGAATTTAGAAGATCTTTGATATTAGGGTGGTGCAAAAGAAACTGCCGATTTGACGGTAAATTCAAAAAAAAGATGGCGTTCGATGGTGACATGATCACAATGGAATATTTTCGCAAGAATTTGAGCAGATTGGCATGGATCGGCCTGAATAACGTCCCTCAGCTTGGCTTCGTTCACGACTTCTGGCCTCGAACCGTGCTCGTAATCTTCCAAAGTCTCGTCTCCCTCTCAGAATCGTTGAAAACAAGTCTGACACTGCCTGAGAGACAAACTGCCATCTCCGAAAGCAGCACAGAGAGCACGATGCGATTCGGCAGCAGACTTTCCAATTTTGAGGTTAAACAGTAATGCTGCTCGTAGCACAAACTTTTGCTCGACCATGATCTAAATAAAAAATATAAGTACTTTTAAATAAAATAAAAAACAACCAAAAAATTCAAATGTCGAAATAAATAGCAAACAAATATGCGAACAAAACATACAAAAATAATGCCGTTAGCATCGCTCGTTTCTGATAAATGAGAGCTGATACCCATCGGCAGTTTCTTTTGCACCACCCTAATATAAGAGAAACTTGAACTCTTTAAAAATTATAGCCAAAAACTGTTTTTTTTTCTAGATGAACATCCTCTACTCATTCCTCAACAACAACTTCCGACAACAGCAACCAATTGTAGGGAAAACGAAGATCAGAAAGAATTTCGCTTGAGAAAAACGATTGTTTTTGTAAATACATGATAGTAAAGTTTTCCCGAAAAAATACAAAACTTAGGTTTTTGCAAGTTCAATTCAAGTCAGATACAGAAAGAAAGATTTTTTGGTAGTGATTTAAGTCATGTCACAACTGCGAATCTTTCAGAATTTGAATGAATCATCAAAACCTAGACGAAGTTGAAATAAAATGAGCTAGTAAGCTGAAAAATGGAAATCGACCATTCAATGAGTTGGGTGCGTGCTTTGGAGCTTCAATGGCTCGGAGCTAGGCTCGGGTCGAATCCCAGCTGCCCTGTGGGCAATCCCTCCGCAGATCGCACCTGAAAGATTGTTTATAAACCAATCACCGCTTGCTTTACATGCTAAACAGTAAAATTGACGAGAAACAATGTTTTGGAGCTTCTCCAGAGTTCTTTTACAAAAAAAAATGGATTGAGGATGACGTTTTTTGACAGAAACCGACAAATTTTATGAGATTTATCCTTAATTTTGCGAAATGCGCTCTTTGTGACACAAGAAAGTAAAAAGCACGGCGAAAGCATGCGAGGAAGTAGGAGAGTCACGAGAAGACCACGAAAAAATTAAATTTTGGCCAACAATGCGACAGAATCGAGTGCAAAATAGAAATGAGCGAGGGCACAAAATAGAACTTAGCCGTCTGTTTAGATTGCAAAAATCGGTTACTTGCTTCGAACAAAGTCTCCTTCCTCACATAGATCTTGACACAACAATCGAGATGGTCGATTTCGTTCCAATAATTCTTTTGCAAAATCCTAAACAAATATTTTAAGTTTTCCCTATCACAAACCAATTCTATGAAGCCCAATAAAACGACCACTCTGCTTGAGAAAGTTTTTAGTAAACTTTCGATATGGTTGATACAATAAAAGAACAGATAAAGTGTTGATAACACCGTGTTGAGCGAGAAGAAGAGTTAAAAGAGGGCAATATTCTGAAAGATGATTGTGATCACCGTAAATATTGTAATAGTATCCGCACCGCATGATGACGGTGCGTAGTGTTGCATAGTAGACATGTGCTTTCGGACATGTGCTAATTTCTTGACTTTAAAGTTGTAAAATAGTGAAGGGATAAATTGAGTTGGCTGCTAAGCTTAGGAAGTTACAAGAAAGTTAGAAAGTTACTTTATTGAGTTACTCATTTTCTAATTTAGCCATTGGACGAGGACAATCGTGTGGCTGCACCCGTCACCTCATCCGAATTAGTGCTTCAATTAACAATTGAAGGACATAATGCTGGCTCGTGATTTGGTCATTTTTTTAGCACTAGAGTGGTAAACCAGTTTTGCATTTTGTGGTGAAATAATGTGCAAGAAAAGCATTTATTTAGAAAACTGATGCCACGATTTTGTAAGATTCAAATCTTTTACAGAGCCAACATGTGTATTCGTAAACTTGTGCGCAATCTCATTGACAAAAAAACTGCTAAAGAAGCACTTTGGAAAGAAATCGTTACATACACACTATTTTTAGTCATTAATTGAAGTCATTAATTGAAAAAGTCATTAATTGTCAATTTGAGGAGGGTGGCAAGAAATCATCAGAGTTCAAAGAGATTTCAGATTCAATCGGAACTCTATTCATTGATCCATCAAAGCCAATTGGTCGCAGGATTTTCTTTTGTTCTTCTTCAATAAGTGGCACAAAATCCAATTTGGCGAGAAATGGATCGTTCTGTAAAATTCAAGTTTGGATAAGTGCGTTAGATTTGATTTAACATCTGATTTTGGGGAAGTGTACCTTTGCGATCAACTGTAACTCTTCCAGAATCTCAGTAGCCATCGGTCGGTCACGACGAACAAATCGTGTACATCTAATCCTCGTAAATATCTTTCAAAAACTTCCCTTACTTTCCAATAATGTTCTTGATTTCTTCTTGACATCTCGGAGCCACCAAATGATCAAATCTTTTTCTTATGATATCGTACAAGAAATGATCTCGCCTAAAGCTGCCAATCAAACCGTATTGAGAGAAAACTATTCTAAAATTTAACGAATTTCTTTTGAGCAACGTTTTTGAGTTCAAAACCTTCTCTCTATAATCTCCCACAAGACAAGCCCTAAACCGTAGACGTCATTGCGGTGAGAGTCCTGGAAAGAGTCGAAAAAGAAAGTAAACAAAATCCCAATTTAAACTCACGTATAGATCTCCTTCTTCAATCGAAAGAGTTTCTTCTTCAAATTGAAGAGGACTCATATATCTTTGTGTTCCCATCGAAGTCCCCGTACAAGTATCTTCAACAGTTTTCGCTAACCCAAAATCTCCGATCTTCAAGAAAAAGGATTCGGTAAGAAAAATGCTAAAAAAATTGTTATGAGTTTAAATCAAGTAAATTTTACTTTTCAGGTTTAATGTCTCGATGGATGATGCCGTGCTTTCGAAACATATAATCAACAGCATCAAAGAGTTCTTCTCCCCAAATGAGCACCGTTTTTATCGTGTAAATGATGGTTGGATTAAACAAAGCTTAATTTACAGTACCGCTCAAAGGTAATGCCCCTTAAACCTTTCAGAGTTTTCATATAAAAAAAATGCATAGAGTAATATGTTTAAAAGCAAAATGTAGATTTTTCATAACCGCATAAATAAATTGCATAAATATTTTGGTTTTAGCACATTGAAATCCTTTTCTTTTGAAAAGCTTAAGGTTGATAAGTAATGTCAAAAGTAATGCCCCCCCTAAGCGTTTATCTTCAACAGCTTTCATTAATTATTTTTTTTTCTAATTTATTTTTATTTTTTTAGATATGGACAAGAAATATTATCCGCTTGTTGTGCGCAAAATTTCTCTCGATATGGTTTCCTCTGGATCGAGTGTCAGAATGTGATAGGCGTTCGCCTCTCAACGGCGTCAAAATCTGCTACCGCCATTTTGTGACGTCTTCTTGTCAGAGCCCCGATGCAAATCCTTTGGAACATGTATGGAATTATTTGAAGAAACAATTCCAAGGATATAAAGCAAAAAATTCAGATGATTTGTACCGGAAATTACAAGAAAAGAGACCAAAAATTGACGCAGGTGTCATCAAAAAGCTTATTGAATCAATGCCTCGACGAGTTGAAGCTATTATTGGTGCAAAAAGTCAAAATACAAAATATTAGTTCTTTTTGGATTTTTGTTTTATCTATACTGTTTTCGTTGAATGTATTTAGAGTTCGAAAACTTTTATAGCATTGGCAAAGCTGACTTTGGCAAAGGCAAAGCTGACTGAGACTTAGGCTTAGGCCATGACTTTTGACCTTAAGTTTGACCTCAGCAACCTTAAGTTTTCTTTTTTAGATCATGTTTTAGAAAGCATTCAAAGCAGAAAGCAGAAAGCAGAAAGCATGAGCTGAAATCAAAGTATTTATGTTTGTTTTGAAAGTCTACATTGTGTTTTTAAACATATTACTCGGTGCATTCGATGATGACTCTGAAAAGTTTGAGGTGGGCCATTACCTTTGAGCCCCACAATGTATTTAGTTTCAGAGTAAACAGTTAAAGAGATTTTGAACTCACATTCTCTTAAATCCCCTCGTTGACAGTATTCCATAATGATTCCAAATTCTTCGGACCCTTCAAACGATTCCATTTGTATCAATTGCACAACATTGGGATGTTTTAATAACTTTAAGACTTCGAATTCTTGCTTGAAACGAGTGAGATGTTGAAGATTTTTAGACATCAAGCACTTTTCCACGGCTGGCCTAAAAATGTTTGTGTTTTAGAAAGAAATGAAATCCTCACTCATCATAGCCATCTAATAGAAAGACTTGTCCATAGGCTCCATAGCCTATGAATGATCGCCGAACTTCAAAAACCTAAAAACAACATTGAACGATTTCCTTTTAACTTAACAATACTGAAGAAAGAAGAACTAAAAAAGAAGTTTTTAAAACACACAAGATTCTTTGACGAATTACTGTTTGGTTTTTATTTCCTCTACTCAAAGAATCCTCTTCCTCTACTTATTTCCTCTACTCTAACTTTACCTCTTCGTTACTTTTAAGGGAGGTCATCTCTACTTCAGTACCGGGCAAAATTGAATTGTTGCTAAATCGAAATCAATTTGAAAAAGTTTTATCAAACCTTTTCCTGTCGACTGCTATCCACTTTTTGATCATAAAAGTCCCGAGAAGAAAAAGAAAAAGAATAATAATAATAATAATAATAATTGAAAGCCCCACGCTATTCAAGATAGAACTCTCTTGAACTTTGGGTAAAATAGTTGGATTTTTAAATTCCTTGTACACATTTCCTGGCCTAAATCTTAAATTGTTGGCAATGTCTCTCGTATTGGTCATCAAATAAGCAAGTTAGTTGAAATCATACCAATCGCAGAATACTGACGAGCCATTTTTCGATTGTGATTTATGGAAAGCATCAATATCTTCCAGTGTTCTATTGTTTTTCAGTCGTTTAAGCAATTGATCAATAAAATCCTAAATTAATCTAAGTTCTTATTTAGGAAAAGAGCTATTACAGGATCCTGCGAAGAACAGTTTTTACAATAAAAGAGTAGTCGATCTTCTTCAGCGTAAAATGTGTGGGAAATGGAGCAGTTCACCAATGTGCCACTAAAAGTGCAACCAACAGTAATTCATAGTACACCGGAAATCAAAAACCCGATTAACATTTGCGGTGTGCCACTCTTGAAGGGAATCGCCATTAAAACCTTGTAGTGAGAGTTTTCTTGGAGATTGATTGTAGTTTTACCTTCAGCTCAATAATGATCTCCTCATTTTGATAAACACATCCGTTTGGAGATGGATCTCCAAGTAATATACCTCTATCGAAGCCAGACTGCTTCCAGGGCAACTGATCAGCTATCGGACCAAAATCAAAACCAACTCTTAACATAATTAAAACAAGTGCAAAACTGAAAGTTACCTTGGATCATAGTATTTGAATATTTGCGTGCAATTTGGATTGCCGACATAATTGAAGTCTTTTTGATTTATGATTCGTATTTTCTGTGTTGAGTTGTCAGAGATATCACTGAAAGCTAAAGTTATGACCATTTATTTATAAAATAGTACTCAAAAATCTACAATCACCTACAAGCAAAATCCAGTCCATTCCTCGCCGTTCACAATAAGTTTCATGTTGGTAACTAAAGTTTCATTTCGTAAATTCAAAATCGTTTTACCGTTGATTAACGAAGTTGTTCGGCAAGGAATAACTGCCGAATTTTTCATTCCAATCGTAAAGTTAGCAGGTCTAGATGATCGTTTCAAAAAGTGCGTTTCATCCAAAAAAATATTTTCTACATAATATTGTTATTTTCTTACTTTTCACAAAAATATAAAATTGGCGGCTATCTAGGAAATCAAAATCAGTACATTGGTACAATCCAGTATCCGTCTGTCTCAAATCCCAAATATCCAACAAGGAGCTCTGAATGATTGTTTTTGAATAAAGAGTTAGTTCATTACCTCATTGGTCTCTACAATGCCGTGTCTTTGGCCAAAATCATCAAAATCGTAGCCAGCAAGATCTGCGTTGCTGTCATTTGGGAATTTCCACCTAATTGAAAAGCTTCAAAGCTTCAAAGCTAACATACTTTGAATTTCTTGAGCACGATAGGGTTTTGTTCTCTCCCGCTTTGGCTTCGATGTAGTTGATATTTCTAAACAATGTGGAACGTTCAGAGTAGTGTTTTTTCGTAAAAGTCTTAAATTTACGCAATTAGATCAATTATGCGGTATTTGACTTGGATTTTCTAAAATATAGGTTTGAGCGGTAAATGAACAAAACAGAGCACTAACTTGGAGAAATCTGGTGACTTGGAGAATGGAGATTTCATTAATGGATTTAGTTGACTCTCAGGTATTGGCTCGAGTCCAGCACTCTCAGGGTAGAAAAATATGAACGATAAAAGAACCAATACTGCTTGCAACATTTTTTCATGAAGTTAAGCTTTCCCTGAATTTGAAATACTGAAAACTCATTGAGTTAAAGGAGGAAACGCTGGTACTTTTATGTTATTTTGGGGGGAGAACTATTATCTGGGCATAGGGGAATCTCAGGGATAATTAGCTGGGGTGGAATGTTTATGTCTTATATTATAAGCGCTTCTAGCTAAGGGTCAGTGCTGCAATTTCTCTAGGATCTGAATTTTATAAGCGCTTATAGTTGCCCATCTCAGAGAGCTTTCAGCATTGACTCCTTCCAGGACCTGCCTAAGTGCAGGGAGCTTGCAGCACAGGCCCTCTTCCTAACTATAGGTGCCTATAATATAATATAGAGAAAAAATATAGGCACTTATAAAAAAATGTCTTATTTCTTATAAAATCAAGTAAAATCAAGTGGAACACAAACGAAAAGATTCCTCCAGCTAATTTTTTTCTGAGATTTCCCTCCAGATAATAGTTTTCTCCCCAGATAACAAAAAAAGAACAAAAAAGAACGCCGAAAACGAAACAAGAACTTTTCATGAACCTTAGATAGATTTCTTTTCAATTTTTTAGAGATCGATCGCCCTTTTGGGTGGAATTTAATGCCGAAAAATTGAACTTATTTTTTAAATTGGTTTCAAAGAAATAAAAGTAGCATTAGAAGTAACCAAATAAGTTAGAAATTGTTTTACAAAAATGAAATAAAAGTCAATCTCGTTCAATGCTTTTTATTGTGTAACTTTCAAGACTTCTTTTTCTTGGTTTTGATTGTTTGGGAAGTGAAAAGGTGCTGGCTTTCAATGGGTGATAAGATTTATTGCCTAGGACCCACACAAGCAGTTCATTGCCCGCCCCTTACAGAGTTCAGTTGTCTTTGAGAGAAAAAAACCGTTACTTCGTAATAGTTCGAGCCCATTTCAATTTTTTCACTTCACACTTCACAATTTTCAAGGTCAAAACTCTTTTTTCAAAAAGCGCAAATTCAATTAGCTTGCGGAATCAAGAAGGTATTCTTGATTCCTTGGAGAATTAAGAATATCTCCTTTCCATCCAAAAAACATTACTCTGAACGTTCCACATTGTTTAGAAATATCAACTACATCGAAGCCAAAGCGGGAGAGAACAAAACCCTATCGTGCTCAAGAAATTCGAAGTATATTATCGCGTTGAATAGCTTTGAAGCTTTTCAATTAGGTGGAAATTCTCAAATGACAGCAACGCAGATGGAGAAATCGAAGAAAATGACTCTTTGCGTATTCCGGTTGGTGTATTCTGTAGCAACCGACAAGTAGTAAAACTCAATCGCTCGATCAGCTCGATCACTCGATCAGTTCGATCACTTAATCATTTTGAATAGTTATAACTGCATAAAATGTTCAGCCAAATGCTGTCATTTTAAATTTTATTCCTTCACACTTGCGAGTTCTGCGAATAACACTATTCAGAATGATTGAGTGATCGAACTGGTCGAGTGATCGAGCTGATCGACTGATCGAGTTTTACTACTTGCGGTAGCAACCTCTTTCCCAACCGACACTTCGCTGCCACTTGGAACCATGGACCGCATGAGAACATTCCGAAAGGGTCAACTATGAATATCTATGACGGAGGTATGCAAAAATTTTTTTAAACTTTTCTTTTATAAATTAGGGTTGTATTTGTTCACTTAATTACAAATTTTTTTATTAAAATCGAGCGAATGTTTATTTACTATTTATTATACGGAAATTAGATTTATATGAAGTGCTTTTAGTTGGAAAGAAGTTCGAAACAACGGTGGTATGTAAAAGGCCAGAACAAGATTTTTTGCTTTGGAATCGGATGAGAAGCTTGCGGAAGATGCTCCATACGTTGCTTCAAATCTCATCGCTGGTAATCACTATTTGCTCGTGGTTGGTTTTATTCAATAAATAAAAGCAAATCTACTAAAGTTTTAATTATACCATATTTTGCTTATTTTTGAAATGGATTCATAGAAATAACTAATTTGGAGAATCGTTTTGTTCAAAATAATTTTTCAAAATAATAGCAGATAAATACAAAAGCTTTAAGATAAAATTTAATTTAGGGTTATCCAGATGAGATCAAAAAGGATGCTCCTCCAAAACCTTCGTTTCTTCCAGGCGTGATCGCAAACGAGGACTGGATGAAAAACGGTGACTTTGCCGGTACTTCTGAGGAAATCCCCGGTTTTTATGGGGTCCTACCTACACGAAATATGGCCAGTTTCTCGGATTGTGTCTTAAAGGTAGGTATATCGATGGCTTTTGTCTCAAACTTGGCACATTCGCTTACAGAGGCTCAATGTGACGAATTCTTCCTGGACGATCGATGGAATGTGCATTGCTCTATGTCAGCTTTTCTTATTCTATTAACATCTATCAATTTGTACAATTTTCTTTTAGATAGAGAAATACGTAAAGAGTGCACAAAATCCGTCCGGCCAAGAAGGCTAAGAAGACCTAGAAGGCCAAATGTTCTATTCTCTAATCACATGAATTTATTTATGATTTGTGAAAAATATTTATTGAAAATTTATTAATTCCATTGATTATTCAAATAAAGTTTGCTTTTTTATTTTTAAAAAGGGATTAAATCAAATATCATTTCATTTGAACAGTAAGCTTTTGAAAAAAGGATGACTGGAAACCATGAAGCTACTTTTTAGAATTGTCAATTATTTTAACATTATTTACAATTTTAATATAAAGTAGGAATAATGTAATTGAGTGCTAGTGGGTAGTACTGGGCTAGAATTCCACATTTAAAATGTGCTTTATTTTAATTTTGTATGTTTCTATAGGGGAAATAGCCGAAAAGGGACAAGATTTTGAATGGGAGATGGGGCGAGCTAGTATCATCTTATTGAAAAATTTTTGAATGATTTTGTGTTTTGATGGCGAAAAGATGTAAGAAAGGGGAAAAATTTGAGATGGGGATGGTTGCGCCCGAAATGGCATTTATATACTACTGATAAAGTCGAATCTTAAACCCAAACCAAAATATTGGAATTTTTTTAGAAATTTAAACTTTGATTTTTATCTTTTAGAAAGATCTCTTCTTTCTCTTGGCGTATTATGGTGGAGAAAATGTGCCGTTCTACGAGGAATTGGAATGGCACGGGCTGGGAACCTTTGGAGAAGCTGATCCACCAAAATGGAAGGTGAAATTGAGTCTCTTTCTTTTTCTTAATTTGTAACAATTTTCAGGACGATGTGATTTCCTTGCTGTACGAATCAATTGAACAAACTCCCGAGGTCAAATCGGCAATGATTTGTGGGATTATTAAGCATACTCAAAGTACGGAGAAAGCAAATCAACTATTCCAGGTTAATCATAAGGATTTTAGGTCAAATTTATGTATTTAGGGAATTCTTTCATCTGGTGCCACTCCTTGTGTTGAGGCTTTTAATACTTTGATAGCAAAATCTCAGTTTTCGGTAGGGTTAAAAGTTGTTGTCTGAAAATTCTCACCTTTCGATTAAGGTGTCTCTCAAATTGCTCCAAAAGATGAAGCATCTATCAGTAAAACCAGATGTAAACACATTCAATGCTTTACTGGAGAGCAACATGACGGTAAATTATTTAGATTTGACAAAAAAAAATACTTGTTCATTTAGGCTCCGTTAGATAACCGCCAGAAAACGGCGAGGAAAAATCTTGGAGAGATGAAACTTTTAAAGGTATTAATATTTTGGAAAACTTGAGCATTTTGTTTCTTTAGATTCATCCCACTTTGTTTATTTTATTGAATGGAATTGTAAAAATTCGAACAAGAGATGTGGATAACAAAGACTACAAGCCTAAGGAAGATGATTTAAAGGCAAAGACTGAGCGGTTAAATGTTTCAATGGGATTTTCAGCTTGCAATCACCGCTTTGAATGAGATAATGACTCGGATGGTGGTGAAACGTATGAGGTCAGTGAATTGGCTGAATGTCCTAATCTATGAATTAAAATTTTAGCCAAACCCCCTCAACGATCATCACTTTTTTCTCACTGCCATGTCAATATGTCAGGTGACGAAAAGACGAAAGACGAAAGATTGCGCAGAAAGTTGTGCAATTCTACGAATCACCAAACAACAAAGTGAAAGCCCCGGAGTTCACTTTTGAGGACAGGTTTGTTTGATCAAGTTTCTAAATCAATATAAGCTATTCAGCTTCTACAACAAATACCTGCAGCTCTTCATTGACACAACTGGGGATTTAAAGGAAATCGAGAGGGTCTACAAGGTGTGTAATCAAATGCAAACGATAACGTGTGTCTCCGTTTGATTGATCAAAAACAAAATATTGATAGTAATACAATATGATATTATTTCAGGAATATGTTCCAAATCGTGTCGGTGTTTCTCATTTCCTCATCATCAGGCTCATCAATCGTCTAAAGGTACTGGAAATTTGATGACTTTTAAATGAAACAACTTTATTTAAAACTCAGACAATTGGCCATTTGTTAAACGCTTGACTGAAGACCGAATTTGTGCTCAAATGTTGACTGATGTTCGTGTCTCATCCGATCTCCGTCTTCTACTCAAAGGGATTAACTAGTCGGTTAGCTTTTAAAATACAGTCAAACTTCGATATAAGGAACTTCAAGGGACCGGCCAAAAGTTTGTTATATCGAAGTTCGACTGTGTATTCTAGATATATTTTTTCCTGTTTAGGCTTTAATTTCCAATGAACGTGAAAAATACTCACAAGTTGTGCATAAAATTGTCAACGCTCTCGTCGAATACAGTGAATTCAATAAGAAGGATCGCAATCGTCTACAGCAAAAACTCAACCCGAGCACAGTTTGACTTCATCTTAAAGCAATCATTAGTTTTGTTTAGTTAATTGAATGTGCATGTCTGTTGGCAAAGATTGGAGAGGACAAGAAGGCGTTTGACTTGTTGCAGTTGTTGGTTGAAGAGGAGGGTGTTAAGGAGGTGAGAAAATTGGACTAATGTTAAAATGAAGCATTCTTCATTAAAAAAATCAAATTCTTTAGAACGAAGTGCCAAAAGAAGAAGTTCAAGAAGGTCAACTGAAGATCGGCCTCGTTAAAGAGCTCTTTGATCACGCACTTCGACAGAAGAACACCGATTTTACTGCTTTCATTTTTGAGGCGAGTCTTTTGAGTGTAGAACAGTTTATTGGTAAATGTAATTATCAAGAATTATAACCTTTTCAACTTATTGCTAATTTTTAGCTAGATGGTATGAGGTTATATTTGAGTTTACATTTATCGTTTTTCCGTTGATGCACAGTCAAGTAAATCAACATACTTCAACAATCATCCCTAAATAAATAATTCAAAATTTTTAGATAATGTCCCGTGATATGCCTCGAGCTCAACTCAAATTGCAAGCCCAGCAAATGACGGAGAGATGTCGGCCGTTTTAAAAGCAAACGAGGATTCTGGAGGGATTTGTGCGTCTTCGACCCGAATAACCGCAAAGGATTGATTGTTTAATTAGATATTGGTTAGTTTTCGTTTTTCACTCTAAAGTTGTTGATCTCTTTTGACAATAAATGTTCCCACACCATATCAAAAAATAAATGGCATTTTTTACGACAAATTTGAGGAGATTTGGAAAATAAATCTTTAGTATAGAGCCTTTTTACTACTTGCACTTCAAGTGCTATTTTCGATTGTGAGGGTTACGGTAGCTGTTTACTGAAGCAGCTTACTGCAGCCTCCCTATACGGTAGCCCCCCTATACTGGCAAGGGATGGTCACGAGGGTGATGTGGAGATGGAAAATGAGACCTAGACGATCCTATGTAGAATTTTTCGCTGATTTCGATGCTGTATTTGGTTTTTGCAAAATGACGCGGAACCGCGAGGAATTTGGCAAAAACGTTTTTGGCATATATCTAAAACTGAGGCGATGAGTTCTGGATCACAGGCTTTTATGCGCTTTGCCAAGTCAAGCCAAGCCAAATTATGCTTCATTTATTTTATCGATATATGTTTCTTGATTTTTGCTACGTTAATTTTGTTGTTTTTGGTAAAAAATTGTTTGAAAAATTAATCTTTTTGATCTAAAATTGAGGAAGGAGATTGCTTAGGGATTGGTCTAAAATAGGTTTTCCGAAGAAAGAAAAGAAAAAAGTAAGAGGCAGCAATAGACTCTTATGTGAGCGCTCTACTACTCGGCTCTACCACTACATTTCTAACAGCATTCATGAAAAACCAATTACCCCCCATTTCGCCTAAGCCATTTTGTCTAACGCTTTTTTTTAAAGGCGTAGCGCAAGAAAGCGAAGATTGCGCTGCCCGAAGCTTGGGCCATCCGAAGCTTGGGTCGACCGAAGCTGGCGTCACCCGAAGCTTGCGCCACCCAAAGCTTACGCTACCCGAAGCTTGCGCGACCCGAACACACGAAGCTTTTTTAGTTTTCTCGCACGCCGGAATCTAGGACACTTCTGTCTTAGCTTTGGTTTTTTCGATATTTTGACGGCAAGCAGAAGTAGGCTATATCTATCTATGAATGGAAACATGTCAAAGATTGAATTCGATAATATCTGGTGACACTTTAGAAATGCGATCAGCCTGAAAAAGATAGGGAACAATTGGATTGTATTTTTTCCGCCAGGTCACCAATAATTGACAATTCTAAAAGGTACCTTCTTGGTTTCCAGGCCATCCTTTTTTTCATTTGATTTCAAAAGCTTGCTGTTAAAATTAAATGATGTTTAATTTAATTATTTTTAAAAATACAAAAACAAATTTATTTGAAGCGTAAATTGAGTTAATAAACATTTTCACAGATCAGTTAGTTAAATTCATCTGATTGTCCTATTCACGATGACTGCCCTTGGCCGACATTTGCAGCTACCGGGCTTTGCTAAAAGAAAATTGTGTAAATTGATAAATGTTAAGAGAATAAGAAAAACTAACCAACTGAATAGCCACCATGAAGTTGGTCAATATATCTTCGAGCGTCATTCCAGGAAGAATTTCACAATAGTGAGCCTCGAGAAGCGTAAGTGCCAAGTTCGAGAGACATCTTTGACAAGTAGTCCATTGCCCCAAATTGATATCTCCGCTACCAAGATACCTTCCGAGAAGTTCACCATTTGGCATCGTGCAGACGGGACCTCCCGAAAAACCCGGCATTGCTCCAGATGTACCGGGAATATGACCATGTCTGTTCTCGTTCTCGCACATCACCATACCCTTAAGAAACGAAGGTGTTGGCTCTTGATTTCGCTCCAAAGACTTTATGAGCCCAGTGGGATAGCCCTAAATTAAATTTTATCTTAAACCTTCTATATTTATCTGCTATTATATTAATTGATTATACGGATAAATGATTTTGAACCAAACGATTTTCCAAATTAGTTATTTCTATGGATCCATCCCAGAAAAGCAAAAGATGGTTATTATAAATAAATAAAACCCTAGCAAATTCACTTTTATTTATTGAATAAAACCAACCATGAGCAAATAGTGTGCACCACCAATGACACGTGAAGCAACATATGGAGGAGGCATGACAAGTTTCTTAGTCAGTCTCAAAAGCAAAACATCTCGTTTTTCTTCTCGACTCTTGAAACCACCGTTGTTTCGAACTTCTCTCCAGCTAAAAGTCCTTCATATAAACTCAATTTCTGTATAATAAATAGTAAATAAACCTTCACTAGAGGTTAATAAAAAATTCGTATTCCAGTGGACAAATAAATAATGATAAGAAAAAATTTTGCATACCTTCATTGTAGATATACATAGTCGAGCTTGTCTGAATGTGCTGATGCGGTCCATGGAAGCAAGTGACAACCAAATGCACGTCAGGAAATACCCTGCTACGGAACACACCAACTGCAAAACGCAAATTGTCGTCTTCGTGGATAGTCGCCTTCAAAGGGTCCAAAGGGTCTCCAAGAAGCTGTGCGAACGACTTCGAATAAAAGAGAAATTTCCGCATTTCCTGAGCGAAGCTTCCTAAATAATATTATTTTAAAAGAAAATTTAAACGTTATTTTTTTATTTAAAAAAATTGGTGCTTTACAGATAACGGGGTGGGGGGGGGTAAGTTTTTTCAGAATTTTAGTAAGAATTTACTAAAACTTCCTTATTGTCTAGTAACGTATTACGGTTCCAAAAATTTACATTCTGCGTCGAAACCTTACCCAAGCTACTAAATCTTTTAACTCAAAAACACTAATTCCAAATGGTTGCCAAAATGAGAAGAATAACAAGTCGATGCGCGGCTGGGTTAGATTGGCTGGCGTTTATAGAGAAAAGATGTTTAGATTTTAATAACTTTATCGGTGATATGAAATACACGGGTCTGAAGATCAACAAAGTGGAAAGACCGAGAAAAGTACAGAAACCCTAAAAATTTAACAATTTTAAGAAGATAACAGGGAGGGGATGGAAAAAATACAAGGAGGAGGGAACAATAAACACAAACAATATTTACAAGAGAATAGCACGAGTAGAACATGAGCGCAGAAGACAGGGCGACGATTCTTCAAAAGAATAAATTTTTGGAGGGACGGGGAAAAAGGGAGACGCCGTCTTGAGTACGGTAGCTTAGGTGTATCTTAGAATTTAGCTGGAAAGTTGCCAACCTGTACTCGAACGGCGAAAATGGAGGTTTTTCTTGCTCCTTGAATTATACTATTTCATTTCTTTGTACCTTTACTAAAACTTTTATGAATTTGGATTGTAAATTTAAATATCTTTTTGGAAATGATCTGACATAGTTTCAACTCTTTTTGCTAGGTTGTTAAAGTTTAGTTTAGGTATTTAGGTGTGCCAAAATACAAACGAATGGTCAGCGAGCCTAATTATAAGATTGAAAGTTTTAGTAAAGGCAGTCGTCGATGTCGCGCACACGTCTCTAACAGATGGCCTAGTGGTGTAGTGGATGAGAGGCTTGTATCAGAGACGAGCTATGCCTCTTTTTTTTGCTCGCGTTCAATTCCTTGTGCGTCAAAAACTTTTGCTTTACTTTTATTTTGATAGTTTACTTTTGAATTTCTCTTTGTTTTTGACTTCTAATGGTATATTTCTTCAAATTGAAGAGTTTGAGAAAACCACCAATAATGCTGGTAAAAACCATGTCATTCATCTACAATTCCATTCATATACAATTCTAGTCTAAGATTTTCCTGAAGAGATTATTTTAAAAAAAGCCAATTTTGGCTAATCCGGAAAAACTCAAAGGATTGTCGAATCGAATTTATACGCTTGAAGTTTAGATTAGAAAGTTTTGGTGAAAAGTCCGATCACGAACGAGGTTTGAGTGTAATTTTCCAATTGTGGCCCCATACAAGTGAACTAATCTTTATTCAGAGAGTAAAACTCTGTCCAAATAATGGGTTGAGTTGAAACTTGTCAAAATAAAATATGAAAAACACTAAATGAAAGCGTGTTTCATTTGAACACACACACAAAAGCTCGCTCAGAGCACGAATTGTTTGAGGAATTATTAGGAAAAAAAGTGCAACAAGCTTATTTGATGGGTTTTTTGTGAGCTACTGTTCATATGCGCAAACAGATTCGGTCGTCCCATCAAAAACATCATTAAATTCGTCATTTCAAAGAGTGATCTTGCACAAATCCCTCAGACAAAACAGCCTGTTGCTGATACAAATAGTGACGAGAGGCTGTCTGTTTCAATCACACGCTTAATCAACCAAGAATTTTTGTTCTAGTTTTTCAAAAATGTTGTTAGTCGTTTGAAAATGATACAAAAATGTTTAGAGACATCAAAAATGCTTAAAATCCTGTTACTGCTCTCGTGCATTGCGTTGGTGATCGGGCAATCGGTTTGTTAAATATTCTCTTACTATTAAAGATTTTAGTAATAAAGAATATCCTTGATTACATTTTTTTTAATTCAGGAACTGGTCGACGATACAAAAAATGCGCTGAATGAGGCCGGCAGTAAACTGAAAGAGGGACTCGATTCAGCTGGTTAGTGGAATGAAAAGGCAGTATGAACATTGATTTAGTGAAAAAATCTCTTTAACACCCTTACGAAAGAGATTTTTGACTTTCACGCAAGTTATTCCACTTCCAACTCGTCTAAAAATGTTCCCAAACAAACCGATTCACTTGTGCTATGGGTCGAAATGAAGAGAAATGTTTGAGAATCATTTTTCTGGAAGTAGTTTGAAAAATATTTACTTTGAAGAAAGTTATGAGCCTTTGAAAGTAAATAAAGCTGGTACACCGGTGTGCCATAAAATCTCTGATGTTAAAACATTCATAACTTTCTTCAGATTTAATATTTTTTCAATCTGCTTCCAGAGAAATGATTCTTGAACATTTTTCTTCATTTCGACCCATAAAATAAGTGAGTCGGTTGCCTGAGAAAGTTTTTAGACAAGCTGGAAGTGGAATAACTTGTGTGAAAATCAAAAATCCCTATATTCTCTATGTGTTAAGGTCGAGCAATTGAGACTGCGGCCGACAAGACGAAACAAGCGGGGAAAGAGGCGGCGGATAAGGTGAGAGAAAGGCAAAGCACACAGAGTAGAGTCGTCTAGAAATCATTTGCTAATCGCTGGTGATCAACGAGAATTTGTCCACCTTTTCATACGTTTTTTTCTAGGCTGACAACGCGTTTAATGATGCAAAGAAAAAGATCGAGTCGAGGCGTTAGGGAGAGACCATCAATGGCAAAGCAATTTCTGTAATCTGACTGTATTAGACATTTTCATAGTATTTCTCATCTTTTTCATTTCTTGAGTTTCCTGTATAAAAAGAAAACCTTAAAATGTTTGACCAGTGACTTGTTTTAGCTTTTTCTTTGCTTCAGTTAAACTTAATTACTTTTTTACACGCAAAAATGAGCAAGAACTGTTTCAAAAGGTTAACGCTTTGTTGTAAAATACAAAGAAAAAGAATTAAACAAATATTTTTCTAGAATCATGGCCTAGTTTTACACGTTTCATGGTCGGGCTGAGCGTTGCAGTCGCTTAAATTTTCTTTTTCAAAAGCTGCATTATCTCAACAGTTAACCACTTGCCGATCTCATTAACTGCAATCGGGTATTCCGAAAGGAAAACGAAACCAACAATTTTTACAATAATTTGTTTGTGCAGCAATGTTAACTAACCTTAAAGAGAATTCTGAGTCTAAAACTAGAAAGGTCTAGAAATAAAATTCAAGAGTTGAGGGAAATGGTTCATGCTTGACCCATGAAGGTTCAAGACTTGCAAATTCGATTACTCATGTTTTCATTTTGTCAAGGCTTGAACTTCCAAGGTTCCAATCAGTCGCTCTCAAACTTTCTCTACAGGAGGCCCGAAAAAAGAAAGTTATGAGCCTTTGAAAGTAGATAAAACTGGTACATCGGTGTGCCATAAAATTTCTTGTGTTAAAACATCCAAACTGACTGGGAGTTTATTATTGGATTACGAGAAAGGTGATCGACAGCTCTGTTTCAAATACCGACATCCGTATTGGCACTTGGCCGATAAATGCCAGCTAGGGCTTTCATTATTATCGCTTGAATTTATATGTGAAGGACTCTCAACTGAACTCTTCCACGTATTTTAAAGTATTCAATTTTGTAAAGTGCTTAAGCTAAGAGCAATTGGAGAATCTCTGATTCTAGAGAAATTCTAAATTTTTCTTTGCCTGAAACCTGCTGTAATGAGCAAAATCTAAGAGTTTCTTTTATTGTAATGCGTGGTGATTAAACATACAGCCCCCACGGGCAGCTGGGGATTTTAAAATGGTTTATTTCTAGAAAGCAAAGGAAAGTACAGGTGAAATGTCAAGCTTTTAAAGCAATTTTGCAGCAATTCTTACATCACATCTTCTGGAACATCTTCAAGAACTCCTCATAGTTGACTTGTCCATCTTTGTTTGCGTCGGCCTCTCGAATCATCACGTCGATCTCCTCATAAGTGATCATTTCGCCGATGTTGGCCATCGCCTGATGCAGTTCTTTTGCCGAGATGACCCCGTTTCCGTCTTTGTCAAAGAGCTTGAAAGCGGCACGCAGCTCGTCATCTTTTGAGGAACGATTGGCCGTTGTGGGGAGACTGAAATGGGGTAAAGTTGTGGATGGATGATCAAAAAGTCTCACAACTTTTTGTAAAAGCAGCTAGTAAATGTTTATCTTATATGAGAAGTGTTATAGAGATTTGAAGCCCGGAATCTTGGCTACATTTATCTACTAAAAGCTTCCGAATTGAATGCATACAACTCATTAAAAAAGCTCTTCAATGAGCTCAACACAGCACGCCGCCATTTTTGAACAATTTTTGAACAGAAAGGCTTCCCCAGAATAATTTTGCATTATTCTTATTCAAAAAATGAAGTTAAATGAATTTATAGAGCTAGAATAGCACAGACTTTAAAATCTGGATGCAAATTCAACATCAAAAAACGCTCAATTTTCGCTTTTCTCCTTGATCTTTAAAATGAACTTAAAATCAAATTGAATTTTGATTAGGAAAGTTTGACAAAACAGTTAGATCTTATTCTTATTATATTAAGCGAGAATAAATCTTACATTTTAAAGAAATCAATAACAAAAAAGGTTTTTTAAAAAGTTTTCATAAAGAAAATCGTCAAAAATGGCGGCGTGCTGTGTTGAGCTCATTGAAGAGCTTGTTTAATGAGTTGTATGCATCCAATTTGAAAGCTTTTAGTAGATAAATATAGCCAAGAATTAGGACTTTAAATCTCTATAACACTTATCACTTTTAAAATAAGTTAGACATTTGCTAGCCGCTTTTACAAAAAGTTGTGCGGGAACTTTTTGATCAGCCTGTAGAGCTTTTGTCTCAACAGCACTGTTTTGCGCTTAATACTGAAACAGCAAATGAATTTTCAGAACTCATAGCAGAGTTTCCGAAAACGAAACTACAGCCAATTTGGGTTCTAATTGTGCTTTCAACTAATGCTACAAACTTTGTCGCAAAGTTAATTTTTCTTTGAAATAAATACCTCGGAATCTTGTCCTCAACGGCTTCCCAATCAGAACGATCATACGAGTGAGTTGGCATACTGAAAATTCTTGTTTCAATGGCTATTTGAAATAAGGAAGCTTATTGAAAAAAAGGATTGAAATGGCTTCTTTTAACAGAAGAACTTTTAACAGATTGGACATTCAAGAATCGCTTCCTTATTCTCCTTTTATTAACTAATTCCGCATAAAGTAATTCCACTAATAATTACTAATAATTATTAAGTTATTCAAACACTTATTGACTTAAACAAAATTATATTTTAAAGATAAAAGAACTGCTTTAAAAGATTGACAACTAACTTTTAATGGATGAAGAGAAATTTAGAGAAAAATGAACGACTTTAAGGAAGTAAAAATTCAAAGCTTTCTCCAGCATAATTTCTTTGAGAAAATTACGTGGACCCAAACACAAAAAAAAGCCCGATAATTGAATGAAAGTAAATGAAAGTAAACGAGGGGAAGGTGCTGACTGAGAAATTAATTGAGTTTCCCCGCTTGCTCTTTGAGACTACGAATGAGACAATCTTTTCTGACTCATTCAAGAGGTTTAGAAAAGTTTCTTTCTCAAAAACGCAAAGAAAAAGTGATGAATTTTGAAAAACACAACTACTCAATTCAAAAATATTCCTCTAAACTATCAATTTCAAGCAGTTTTGGGAGCAAAATTGAAAAAATACAAGGTTGATGCAAAGAAATTTCGGTCAGTAGAAAATTTTCTACTTTTTATCTGAAAACCTTATTTGATTTTCTTTTGTATATTTGTAATCTTGGATATTTCAGCTCCGAGCCAAACTGATATTTTAGTTACTATTGTTATTATTGAATGGTTTGTCTAATTTTATGTAAATGTGTTCTCCCCTGTGCTCATCCCTTTCATCGCCGAGAAGGGGCGGTCCTTGGGATTGCCTAGGAGGACAAGTGAGGCTCTCACTTGGAGTCCCCCCTTCCCCTTTCACTCATTTGTAATCTATTCGTCTTATTGTACTACTGTAAATAAAGATATATATCTTCCGGGTCTATGCAATTGCAGTTCAGGTCGATCATTTCACAGGGACTCCCCTCTAATACGTTGGAGGAGTTGAGTTGGATTGTCGGGGTGTTAGAGATGGCTGGATATCAAAAGGGAGCCACTCTCTTTAACTTAACCCAAATTCTAGTCCATATCCGTTTACACCTAGGAATGAATAGATATTTACTTTATTTTTATGGTTTTTGCTAAGTCAGAGCTTTTACTTTTTAATTGATATTTGCTTTAGATCATGGTGGATCAAAAGTATGTATGTCTTCTCTACGATTTCAAGCTGGGCAAAGAGGCTGCCGAATCATATCGTGATCTCTGTTCCGCTTTTGGAGAACAAGTTATGACCGAAAGATCCTGCCAGCTCTAGCTTGCCCGATTCTGAGAAGGTATTGAATTTTTTGAAGACGAACCATCGCTCGGCAGCCATCGATAATAATGAATTGGAACAACTTATTGAAGCCGATTCAATGCAAACAACACGAGAGCTTGCCAAACATCTCCAATGTGAACATCTCCTATTAACAATTGTCTGCCATTTGGAAATAATCGGAAAAACCAATCGTAATGAACAATGGGTTCCACATCAAGTGAGCACCGAAAATCTGGGAGCACGCGTTTCGATCAGCCATATCTTGCTTCTCAAGTCGAAAAGGAACCATTTTTTGAGAATATCTTGACGATGGACGAGAAGTGGATTCAATTCGATAACAATTATCGAAAAAGACAATGGTAAAAAAAGGTGTGCCCTTGAGTGAAAACAAACCCTCATTTTCCAGGATATACTCTGCTTCTTATGCTCTTTCTTCATTCGTCGCCTTCCCGAGACGGGTTACGATTTACGAGCAGTATACGCTTTGCCACAAATCAATGTATTCACCGTTTGCCAAAAGCAATCCATCAATTCGCGAGCATCCCTAGTAATAAGTTATAACAAAATGGGAGCAAACCTGTGACTTCCAGAGTAAATTGTTTGGCAGAGAGGGAATTTGCATCTTGACCCATTTACCTACAGAGTTCAGGTATTTAGGTCAAAACTCGGGTATGAACTTAATTTCTCGTGAAACCTAACTCAAAATTGACAAAAGCTTTATTTAAATTGTTGCATAAATGCTATTTTCAGAGTTTTCCCATATCTATTACTTTTTTGAAAATTCGCAGAAAAGGTTTTTGTAGAAAATTAGAGGGATTTCTATTTTTAGCTGTGAAATTTTGTGGCTTTGAGATTCCCCAAAAAAACTTGATCTTTTAACGTGGGAAACAAGGGAAAGTTTCCACGTATTTCCATGATTACCTTGTATATTTTCTGCCTTTTAAATATTTCTTTCTTTTTTAAACTTTTCAGCTAGCTACAAGAACGATAAAAAAGCCTGGGAATAAAGAAATGAATAGAAAATTAGCTCTCATTAGGTACAAATTTTTCGAACAGGGCACTACATCAAATTTTCAGCTATCCATTTAGTCGTCAAAGGTATACAGGCAAAAAAGTTTTACAAGAATCTCATTATCCATTGCAAAATGCATATAAATGTTTGTAACTTTCAACTGCCTTTACTTTCCATATCCTTTTTCTTTTCAGATCTCCAACCTCAGTTCAGCTACCAATCTCAATGAGCTCCCCGGATGATCTCCTCTATCAATTGCAACTCGAGATCCCATGCAAAGTGACGATGCTCGTTCTGGCCATTCTGATGGGATTGCCTACTCTCTGGGCCTATTGTCGCCTAACGAATAGTTATCGGAAGAAGGGATTTCCCGGGGAATTCCAGAAACTTTTCTTCCTATGTTTGTCAAATGTGAGTGATTTTCGATTAGTAATCGAACCCAACGATTTGGGTTGACACTATTGAGTAGAATCCAAATTCAAAGTATTCAAAGTATCCAAAGTTGAAAGCTCAATCTTGCCAGAGAACTGTAAACATCTGTTAGATGATTGGTCGCTTGGTGGAGGTTAAACTCTTAATTCTTGAAGCTATGGTCTAACACGATTGTCGATTAAGCCATAAAAGTCTGGGATCTCAATCCTTCCATAGACTAATGTGACAGAAATCGAAATGACCATCTTCTGGCCATTCCCTTGTTAGATCTACAGGCCGATATTCTACCGATTGAGCCATTTGAGGCTTAGGAAGCCTCTGATTTTGTCAGGAACCCAATCAGTGACTTCCGGTTGAATGCTTACTAAAAAGTGTGCCCTTGAGTGAAACCCTCACCAAATGGAGTACGGTCCTTTTCTCTACAGATTTGGTTCCTTTTCCTCAAACCCTCATTTTCCAGGATATGCTCTGCTTCTTATGCTCTTTCTTCATTCGTCGCCTTCCCGAGACGGGTTACGAGTTTCTCGACGTATACGCTTTAATTGCCAAAAATCCATATACAAATCCTCTAATTTATCTGCTTGACACATCGATATTCATCCAATTCGTCGGCACTTTTTTGATCGCCCTCAATCGAGCTTCTTGTGTCGCCTTCCCTGTGAAATATGCTCATGTGGGTCACAGTTTTTCTTTTCTTTTTTAAAATAAGAAAAACGAGTTATGTGATAGCCAACTATGAGAAACTAAAACTTTCTAAAAGCTTTTTTGTATGGTTTAGTTTCAGGTTTCTAGAAATATAACTTTTAGATAAATAATATTGATTTTCATAAAGTAAAAATCAAATTGCTTTTGTTTTCGAGTTTTTCACTTATCGAGTGATGGAGCTAATCGAGCTGATCGAGTTTTATTACTTGCCCTTTCCATAGAATGACAAACATATCAGTAATCAAATCTGTGACATCTACTTATAATTAGATTGCTGGCCACTTGATAGAGTCAAACCCTGGTCCTAGGGACTTCAAAAAGTATCAGAGTTTAGATCCGGCCTAGCCTGGATCCAAGGATACTTTCAGCTTTTCCCTAATGCCACTAGAAACTTCCACTGTGTTTTTCAGTACTGGAAGTCATACTTTTGGTGGATCGTCCTCCCAGTGATGTTTCTCTTTCCGTGTCTTCTCAACTCGCCCGATACCATCTATGGAGCCACTTTTGTCAAAATAGCCCCTGGATATTATTGGATTCTCGAGAATAGTTCGGTGAGTTACCAAGCTGGTTATGCTAACTGGATATCACAATAGTGATCTAAACGATCATTTTAAGTGTGAACACGGTTTGAGCTGATCCCTAGTTCCAACTTGCAATGACTACAGTAACTTTTTTATATCAAAAACAAAACTTGGCTAGTTTTCTAGCTTTTAAAAATGCTAATTGGATTTCACAATAGGGATTTAGAAGATGATTTCAAGTCTAGACACTATTTAAGGTGTTCCGCCAAGATGCCAGAATTTTTATGCTACCATACTCTCCAAAAAAAGGAGTCTCATTCATTTTCTAACTTTCAAAAATCCTAACTGGATGTCAGATGGGAGATTTCAAGCACAATGAACGCATTTTCGCTGAATTTCTCGTCTACCTCAAAATGATGCCTACTATATTGACCTTCCTAGTCCGTCTTGTGTTTACCATTAACCATTTTTTTGTATCTTTGAAGAAATAAAAGATATTTTTGCAGAAAGACTACCAAGTGATCGTCTCAACCACTCTGATCGTGATTGAAAGTGGGACTTTTCTTCTGAATATTTTCACGAGTTATCGCTTGATTCGACAGCGAAAACATCGAACGAATGGGTCAAAAAAGAATTTGAAAAACTCCAATGATTTAAAGTGAGAATAGAAGAAAATTATCAGAAAAAAGGGTGGATAAAAAAATGACATTTTGGGAACTTAAGAGACTAAAAAAAGAAACCAGTCATCTCTCAACGATTTCTTTAAACACTAAAAGTTTACATGAGGAACATCATAGGATAGAAGTACTGTAGCTGGGATGAATTCTATAATTCTTATAATAATAAATAGATTCTATAATTCATCCCAGCTACATTACCCAGGTCAATTTTCGGCTTTTGGCCAGTGATTTTGATTCTCTCTCCCCAATCGAATAGTTTTTTTGATTGTAAGGAATAGTCAAAAAACTCATACACTTTTAGAGAGTGCCTTGGTTTTGCCTAAAAATCTGTCATTTTGTCACAACTTTTGACTCTTGCGTAGATTCCGGGTATTTTGAAAGAATTCGGGTTTTTTGAACGAGCTGTCACGCTTCGAAGGCCTATAACTTTGTCCAGAGATAATACTTTTGCTAACTTTTTATATCAATGTATAGAGGACATTTCAGCCTTTCAAATAATACCAAATAGAGCTTGGTTGGTCAATCCAGTCCATGAAAATCAGAGCCAACGCTGAGCAAATGAGGCCTATATAACTCGGGTGTCGTGTAGCCTTGTTTTCATGGGAATAAAAAATCATGTCAAGCTCTATTTGGTATTATTTGAAAGCCTGAAATGTCCTCTATGAAATGATATAAAAAGTTAACAAAAGTATGATTTCTGGACAAAGTTATAGGCCCTCAAAGCGTGACGACCTGCTCAAAATTCCGGGAAACTACGCAAGAGCCGAATTTTTCATTTGCTATTAGGTTGGCAAGAAAGTCTTTTCACTCAACTCAAATTTTTCAGCTACGAAACTTTTGTATTGTTAAAATTAAAGATCAATATCTTAAACAAAAAACAGCGGCAAAACTTTTTATTCTGGGGAAGTTTTAATGGAAGAAATGAGCTTCAGATTGAGCTTCAGTACCGAGTCAAATTTCATTTTTTCACGTTCTTTTGACTCGGATTTTATCAAGACACTATTTCTTCAAAATTTCAAATCAATCTTTATGATTATGCTTACTGTATTTTGCAAACAATTTCAAGTCTAAAGGTCTATGATTTCTTTTGAAATTAGCTGAGCGCATCAAAGAGCGTTTTTGATATCTGGTAGTTCAGTTTAGAGATTCTGAAAAATCGCGAAAAGACTTGCTTGTAGCCTAATAATTAAAAAATACTTGTAAAGTTCATTTTTGAGTTAGCAAATGAAATTATTCTCAGATTCCACGCGATTAACATGTTCATGTTCTTTATGGAAATGATCGTCGTTGCCATGCAGGTACAGCGGGAATTATGCTCATAGTATGGGGTAAGGTAAACGCCAAACTACTGACTGTGGTCACTAACAGAAGGCCCGAAGTGGAGGTGACCGTTTAAGATGAGTGATACCTCATTCGATAGATCTCATGATGAATACAGATGTTCAAAAAAATTAGCCGCGCAAAGTAACTCTACCAGCGAGAAATGCGGGTGACAAGGAGCAAAAAGAGCCGACAAGAGGGGCTAGAGCGATCCTTGACGGGGCTAGAACTTTTTACTGAATCAATATTTTTGGATACTCTTTTTTGCATGTAATAGAACTTAAATGAAACTAATTTCTCGTTGTAGAGTTACTTTGGTCATCAATATTCATCATGAGATCTATCGAATGAGGTATAACTTAACTCGAACCACCTCCACTTCTGGCCATTCCCTTGTAAGTGGATGTTAACCAGGGGTTTTTTTTGTCTTTTGCAATAACTCTTTTTTTAGCTTTTCCTGCACATTACAACAACAATCGCTGAAAGTGAGGTGCACAGCTGGCTGCTGTTCAATATGTTCGTCGTCGCCATCACCGTCAATGATCTCACCTCTTTGCTTCCATTGTGGTAAATGTTGTATCCTTACTTCTTGTTCCTGTGGACTAAAAAAAAGCCATAAAGCCATTGACCATAGAAAACCTGAACCTGGGGGTCACAGCTTTGACTCCTGTGTCGCTAGCCTTCTATGACAAGTCTGATATCTCAGCTTTAGATAGCTCAATCGGTAGAGTGACAGCCGGAGATTCAGTGATCGAGGATTCGAGTCCCAGTAGTATCCAACCATTTAGCTGGAGGTCACTTGATTCCTGCTAATTTTAGTTTCCAGGCAAAAAAAACTAGATTTACGAGTTTACGAGCGAATCTGTTTTGTTTGTTTACGAGTAAATCTATTTTGATCAAACGATTCCCTGTAATCAGATAGGATTTTTGCAGGTTGATGGCCTATCTCTCGAACGAGTTCCGCTCGGTGATCTTTGGGAGGAAAGCGAAAAGCGAAAAGAAAACCCCCTCAATTTCGATGCAAATTCAGCCGACTAACACGGCTTTTTAATTTTATAAAGTTGTTAGTGGACTCGTTAATTAGTGGACATTTTTGGAAGAATTGTTGGTGGACATTGCTCGTAATTTTTGCACTATGAAAAGTCTATTCTTTGCAAACTTATTCATTTCAATCATCCTCCCGAAATCAGCCACTGAGCAAATGTTCGTGGCAGCTTTGGAGGGGCCATCCAAAGCTCATCAGCTGATCAAATCCTCCCACTAGCCCTTCACTAAAACTGGAAAAAATAGTCTTGGAAAACTAGCAGAAAGTAAACTATAGCTACGTCCAAAGGCTTTTATTGATTATATTATTGATTCTTATTGATTATAGCCCCGTTATTTTGCTAGCTATAAAGGCGGGTTTTTCGATGCTTCACGCTGATAGTAAAGGCCACAAATTACGTTTGAACCTTATTGATTGAAAGATTGCAAAGCTCGTGAGGCATTTGATCCACCTAAAAAATATGAAAAACAAAACTGTGCTGACTGTGCTTTTACATTTCCACTTCCCTCAACGATTTTTCCTTCTTCTCAGCATCCATGACACATCGCCAATCCACAAGCCAAAAATCGCGGTGATCGAGGCTGTCTTGCAATTGGCTCAACTAAAAAAGTTGATGAATCAAAAACAAAAATTAGTTTTCACGTGCTCTCTTTGATAACTCTTTGTAAATACCTTATCTGTCTAGTCGATGTCTAGTCTTGCGTATCATTAGCTTTTATGTTCCATACCTTGTGTTTACTCATTCACCTGTACTGTTTCCTATCTAAATCTTTTCAGAAATATGTTTTTTGTTAATTTCTCCCAATGAATTTGTGTAAATTCGGTATATTGTGCATTGTTCTGTTTGGTTTATACTTGTCAAATACACTTTAATTTCGTCAAAATTTTGAACCCTTCAATTTACCATTGTTAGAAAGACGATCAGTTCGAAAGTTTGATAGAATGCTGAATGGATCTCAAAAATACAGAGCTTTAACAATAGTGAGGCGACCTTTGTTGTAAATTTTTGTTTGAAGTGAGAAAAAAACTTAATTAATTGAAAATCAAGCCAAATTATTCAAAGTGCACACTTAATGCCAAAAGACAAGTGCAGAAAAAAGAGTATGCGAAGTGATTTTCAGTAATAAAAGAGTTTTATTTCATAGGCAACTCTAAAAATAGGTGGACCTCTTGTCTAACGTAAGAAAAAACAAACGAGATAAAGCCTTTTTTCCTTGCCTTTCTCCTTTCTCTCCCACAGAATTATCGCGTATCCTCTCGTGGCATTTTCAAGAACATTTAGGTATTGGCATTGTCTCTCCCTCAACTCGCGCATGTCCCTTGAGATGAAGTCACTCTTTTTCTCTAGCCATTCCTTATTCATCCACCGATGCTCATTGTACTCGTCGAGTATCACGTTTCGTCGATCTTCCTCATCGACACTTGCAATCTCATCATTTCCTCTCAGAATATCCCATGTACAACTATCGCTCGAATAGGACACAAGACCCAAGTAGTCTGGTGGGGGAATCGCCGTCGAGAGCAGCGCCTCGGTGCCGTTCCCCTCTTTCGGGAAGATCTCTCGGATGGCTTTCTTGAAATGATCACAAGAGCTAAACCAAAGCCACAGAGACTTCATTGTTGTAATGATGGATTGATGACGTCTGAGAGAAACCGAGAGAGATCCCTGAGGAGTGAACTCGAAGACCCTAGCGAAGGCAATATGTAGCGGGAGAATCGAGTGCTGCAACCATTCATCGACCGATAGACACTCGCAATACTTGATCGATTTGAGCAGGTTTGGGAGTGGGTTTTTTGGGACACAGACGCCATTTTCCGATCTACAAACTTTTGCCCCTTCGACCTCGACGAATTGATTGTTGAAGTTGTAGAAGATGGCGATTTGATTGGCCAGAGAGTCGTCGTCCCGGATCTCCACAAAAATGGTGTTCGATCGATACGAGGTAAGACGGATCTTCTGGATTCTCCGTTTCCGAAAAAGGTCACATTGAATGAGAAATCCTCTCAATCTCTTGTTCACTTTCATCAACGATGTGCACGAAGTTATCGGCAGCTTCTCGACGAGCATTTCTTTCAGCTGTGCTGGGAGAGAGTTGAGAGGAAGCCTTCGACAGTTCCAATGGCATTTTGGAGGATCTGAAAGGTTGAGCTTGTAAATTTGAAAACGCATGCTTTTTGTGAACCCCAATTCACTGGCGATAAAAAAAAACTTGAACCCATTCGTCAACTTTAATGTAAAATTACCTTCAGACTTGTAGCTGAACATCGCTAATTCGAATTGGAATAAAAATAAGAAAGAAAAGTCAAAGAATAGGTGCTATTTTGGAAACTGGGCCTTTTTATTTTGCAACGAAATCAGCAATGAAATGCGAGCCGAGGCTACGGTGGACTATCCACCCGATTGACGTTCTTTCCCTTGTTTTACATCTGCACAATCTTTTATTTCTTCTTTTTTTCACTCGAAAACTCTCTTGCAAAACTTTTGATGGGTTTTGAGAACAATAAAATCTTCTTCTTACTTTGCACTTTACAAAACGACCATAAAAACTCGTGCTAATATGGCCATTGTTTAATGCCAACGGTTATAACAAAAACACGTTGCGATTTTTCAACTTTGAAAGAATCTAGTTGCCCTGAAGAGTTATTTATCATTTGAAAGTTTTTAGGTTCATTTGAAAGTTATTTGAAAGTTATAAGGTTCTTCCGGGAATTACACTGATAAAAGACCATGAAAAACGTCGAGAAAAAACTGAACTGAAAAACTTTTCTAAAAACGGAACCGACTGAATGCATGTTTTTTTTATGAAACTGCTCTGGTTCTTTCTATTTTTTGTATTGATGGCAAATGATGTGTTTAGTCGCTTTTGTTTGTGGAGAAATAAATACCAACGCACAGATTACTGATCACAATGTCAGTTTGCTTATTCAAGCCGATAAATTGACTGAAGAGAATCGGTGGAGGATCACAAAAAGGAGCTATGTTGGTGGAGAAGTTGTGGGTTTTGAGTAATGACTTGGAGAAGATGAAGCTCCACAATCAGCCCCTACTTTTGAACATCCGAGATCAGAAGCGCAAGAATTTCTTCTATCAAAAACCTCTCATCGATCGGGTCGACGTGGTCGGGTGAGCTCTTTGCCCGTCAAAAAATGATTTCAATTTATCTATCAGATTTTCTCGACTTGTGTTTGAATTTTGATGAATCAACCGAAAAAATGCACCTTAACAATTGTCTTTTTAGTTCTTTTAAGGGCCATAATAGGAATTTATTTGTGCTGAAACCCTATTGAAAATTAAATTTTTCAAGAAAAATTGAAAAATTGAATTATAAATCATAAATCATAATCACAACAAAGGAAATACGAGAATTTTCTATTGAGAAGAGCCGCTGAACTCGTTGATGAGCATCTAAAAGTTTGTTAAGTTCTTTTTACTAGTGTAAAAGCTTATACACCTCAATCCCTGTGTTGCACAATCTCAACTCACTCAAATATTTCTCGCAGATCTCCTCGAAATGATCACCAATAGCTCTGAAAGGAAACGTTTATCAGAAAAGAATTTTTAAGAAAAAAAAACAACATCACAAAGTTGTACATTTAAAAAAGTGAAAATTGATGTTTCTGTGTTCATCATTCGTTTTGCTAAACAAAAATTTGATTAAAAAAATTTATTGAATCATCGAGCAGTTTGGATAGGTCTAAAATTCGAAACGAAAATCCTTTGTGATGCTATTTCCTTGACTTCTGCTGACTCATAACAGAAGTTGCTGTGACAGAAATCCTTTGATCTTTCTAAACTCTTCTATAAAAATTTCATTGATCACTTCATCACCTTCCTGTTTCCGATCACCATTTTCACCGACTCAAACAATCGTTTTCGATAGCTATCATAGACAAAGAGAAGAACCACCGTTGATAAAGTCCCATGTGAGCATCCGATGGCTGTTGTCCAGATTGTATAAGCTGGAAAAAAAGATTGCAATGAAAAGAAACGGCAAAGATTGAAATCGACGAACCGCTTAGTGGAGCAGACTCGGGCCATCCCAAGGCAACTGCGGTCTCCCAACAAAAAGGCACGAAAACAACACCGATAAAGATGAGCACCTGCAATGAAAAAAGTAAAAACACTTGCAGTAAACTAATAAAGCTTTTAAACACTTACCTGAATAGTGAGATTTCGGAGCCATAGCCTCTGAAAGCGCAGTGTCTTTTTGCTCATCAAACGTCGCTGTTGATGAAGACTGTGATAAGTTGGGAGGATCAGCGCTAAAAAATGTTATCAAAACTAAGAAAAAACAGGATAATTAGAGCAGAAAAACATCTACAACAGTCGCAACCACGTTTTCTTTTCGCATGAGATTACAGAAGTTTTGGGTAATCGAAAAATAAGCCACCATTTTACTAAGCACCCACCAAGACCTGTCACTCCAATAAGGGCAAAATAGAGTAGGGCCAAGCCGTCTATATCGCCATGGATTCCTCCGGAAATAGCGTAAAAGCCGGTATGATTGATGAAGTTGATCATTGCAGGGTTATACTGAAAACAACGCCACTTACGTTAAACGTTAATATTAGGCTGAGTACTCATTTTTGATAACCCCTATTCAATTTTTGGTTTTAATAAATTGGTGAATTGGTGGTTGGTTGGTGAATTGAAAACTGCCGGCTATTGTCATATGTGACAGTTTGAGCACTTTCTTCAAAAGAAACCCATTTTGGTGTCAATGGAAAAGTTGTAGAGAATCAAAAATTAAGTTTATATCCAAATTTTCAGAACGATTCAAAAGCTGGTTTTCCGGAAATGCCAAACTTACGAATTTTCACAAAACTTGCATTTTAAGCGAAACTACTAAGTGTATCTTTTTGGAAATTTGGCTATAAGCCTAATTTTTGATTCTCTACAACTTTTCTATTGACACCAAAATGGGTTTCTTTTGAAGAAAGTGCTCAAACTGGGACATCTCCTCCATTTTTGAGACTCACACTTGTCTCACATACAAACCAAAATCCTACTGCGAAAGAGGAATCCGCAAATTGCCTGTAAAATGGGCACAAGTCGTCAATAATAATGGAAATTATTTGGAATCAATTTATGGTTTTATGTTCAATAAATTTTAGTTCAAAATCCGGCAGTTTTCAATTCACCAACCCAATAATTAAAGCACCAATACAATTCAAATTTTCTTCAAATAAAAGTTGTTTATGGTTGAATTTGCAATCTTTTGAAGCAAATTTAAGTTCGTTTTGAAACGGATTTGCGCAGTGGTTCGTGTTTTACTGAAAATTCTTCAAATCGACGTATAACTAAAGCAATTAGACAAATTGAGCTGAGAATTCGGCTTTATGTTTAACTTTTTTTGCTTTATCTATCGACTCAAAGATAGGTTTCCTTAGCTAAAATATTCTAAGTTGCTTCATCGAGCCGTCACCCTTTTTGACTACCCGACTGCACGCTACCAAAAATATCCAAACATAAGACATTTTAAAACCCAATTTTAATGTTATTCTGCAGAAAAATAATTGCCCTTTCTAATGAAACAAACCGTAGTTCAATTCGGGCATTTGTTGGTTTTAAATGGAGGTACGAAAAGGAACGAAAAGACTTCCTGGACAGCCTAATATGAGATCTATTCCCAAAGCTTAGTTAAACTTAGTTTCTGTGAAAGAAAGTGCTGGAATCGCTTTATCGAGCGTTCACCGTTCCCTCAACTTCTTTCCACCATAAAATCTCTAAAACCAGAGCTTTTCTTAATCTCCCAAAAGCTACTTTTAGAAAATCAATAGAAATTTGCATTTATTTAATACAGTAGTTATTTCTAAAAATCAAAACGTAGAAGTGTTATCAAGAATTAGTACTCAACCGAATATTTCCTTTCAAAATAATTTGTATCGTTTTTCTCAAAGGTTTACACCATTTTGTTGAACCTTTGTTTGATCTCGAATCGCTTGTTCAAGATCGTTCTTTTGGCATAAAATAAACAGAAGAGATTCGAAGATGAGTGGCTGTACAAAGAAGGCGAAAACAAAAAGCTGTTTCACTCTGAAATGTTACTTTTTCGAATAACAAAAACTTAATCTATTAGGTTGGAAAGGTCAAAGTGCGAATTTTTTTCTTCTCTTCTTATCGGTATTTCCCAGCACCAAAAGCATTCAGACCGAAATTTTCACTTTGACCTTTCCAACCTAATATTTCATTTTTAACGCACCCTTTGCCTTGTTTTAGCAAATGACTTTCCGGGAGAATCGACTGTTGTTTGTAAAAAATTGTGACAGTAATCGTTGCGATAAAATACAGAAAAAGAGTCATTGCAAAACCCTGAAAGCATTTTCGCTTTGAACTAGGCGTTTTGACTTTGACTGTAAGTCTTCGACTGATTGGTTTTGACTTTGATTTGATTGTTTAGTCTCGGTTTTCAATGGACGAAACTCACAAACTGTGACGGGGTCGAAACCCCAAAAGAGCTGGCGAATCCAAGGAAATACCCTCCAACATGGGCATGGCTGAGATGGGAAAAGTGAAAAAGATCAAACCGAAGTCAAACGCTGCACCGGTCAGCTGAAAGAAAGCACGTTTATACCAAAATGTGAAAGGTTTATGTCACAAAGTTTCCAACAAATGCGAAATTGATACCTGCATGGTTAACAGATAGTATTTATAGCTTCCGAGTCGTTTCGGTGTGCCCACATAAATGATGTAGACGCCAAGTAAGTTGAAGAACAGAGCCGGTACTTCAAATTAAAGCTTAAATCAAGCTTTGATAAGACAAAAGCTACCGCTGTAAATCGATAGCCATCGTTGAATGATTGGAAAAGAGTCGACGCTCACCAATTCAATCGACATTTGAAAAGTTGACTACTTTGAAACTGAAACTTTACGAATGAAACTACTTTGCAACTTTGGGGACAGTGCTGTAAATCAATAAATACAGCAAATTGAAAAAAATTCAGTTTTCGGTGTTCTAAGTTGAACGCTCGTGTGGTGGCTGAAAATGATAATTAGCAGCTGTCTCTTAATAGGTTTTGGTTTCCGTTTTGTGATTAATCAAATTGTAATGAGTGATTACAATTGTTCAAAGTTCTGCTAATTCTATTCTTATTTCATCGAAACGCGTGAAGTCTCCAAGAAGTTGAAAGAGTTCAGTCATTAGACAAATTGATAAAAGAACTTTTATTTGTTTTTGTTTCGCAGGTAACCATGAGAAATGGTTTTCTGGAGATCTTCACAGTGATCTATTTTTAGATTTGTTTTTGAAATGTTTAGCAGAACTA